AGCACCTGGCCTCTTTCCACCTTTTGGCTGTTTCAGATAATGCTGTTGGGAACATCTGTGTACAAGTTTTCACATGAACATGTTTTCAGTTTCTTTGAGTAGAATTTCTGGGTCATATGGTAACTTTGAGTAATTGCCAAACTTTTCCATGGCGGTTACACCATTTTACATCCCATCAGCAATGTATGAGTGTTCCTGTTTCTCTATATCCTTGCCAACACTTGTTTTCCATTTTAAAATTACACTGAAAGAAATCTCGAGACCCTAAAATCACTACGCTAAAAGGAAAAGTCAAGCTGGAAACTGTTTGGGACAAACCTGCCTCCCATTCTGTTCCTAAAAAGATAGCTACTGAGATACAAAAGCTACATACTTCCTTCTCAGTTTTTACACAGGAAGCTTCCTTGTGGACAAGGGACAGAACTCAAAGTCATCCCTCTGCTCGCTGAGATAAATGCATTTCTGATTGCTTCCTTTGGAAAGGCTAATCAGAAACTCAAAAGAATGCAGCTGTTTGTCTCAAATTTATTTACCTATGACCTGGAAGCCCCCTCCTTGCTTCTAGCAGTCCTGCCTTTCCAGACAGAACCAATGTTGATAGATGTCTCATGTCTCCCTAAAATGTATAAAACCAAGCTGTGCCCCAACCACCTTGGGCACATGTTATCAGGACCTCCTGAGGCTGTGTCACAGGCCTGTGTCACGTCTTTAACCTTGGCAAAATAAACTTCCTAACTTAACTGAGACTTGTCTCCAATACTGTGGTTTATATAACCATCCTAGTGGGTGTGGACTGGTATCTCACTGTAGTTTTTATTTGCATTTCCCTAATGATTGATGATGTTGCACATCTTTTCATGTTTCTCTGCCATTTGTGTATCACCTTCTCTGAAATATCTATTCTATTTATTTGTTTATTTTGATTGTATTGTATTTTATGTTTTGAGATGGGAGTCTCCCTCTGTCCCCCAGGCTAGAGTACAGTGACATGATTTTGGCTCAATGCAACCTCCGCCTCTTGGATTCAAGCGATTGTTCTGCTTCAGCTTCCTGAGTAGCTGGAATTAGACGTGTCCATCATCATGCCCAGTTAATTTTTGTATTTTTTTTTCCTTTTTTTTTTTTTTTTTATAAATACGGGGTTTCACCATGTTGGTCAGGCTGGTCTTGAATTCTCGACCTCAGGTGATCCGCCCGCCTTGGCCTCCAAAGTGCTTGGATTATAGGCGTGAGCCACTGCACCTGGCCAATTTTTTATTTTTTAAGTAGAGACAGGGTTTTACCATGTTGGGCAGGCTGGTCTCAAACTCCTGACCTCAGGTGATCCACCCACCTCGGCCTCCCAGAGTGTTGGGATTACAGGCATGAGCCACTGCACCCAGCTTCAATTTTATTTTTAATTAAAAAAATTTTTTTTTTAAAATATTTAGAGTCAAGGGTCTTGCTCTGTCACCCAGGCTGGAGTGCATTGGTAGGATTATAACTCACTGCAGCATCCACCTCCTGGGCTCAAGCAGTCTTCCCGTCTCAGCTGCCTGAGTAGGACTGCAGGCACATACCACCACATCTGGCTAATATTTTTCTTTTTTTTTTTTTTAATATATTTTAAAACAAAGTCTCACTCTGTTACCCAAGCTGGAATGTAGTGGCACCATCACAGCGTACTGTAGGCTCCACCTCCCATGCTTAAGTGATGTAGCCACTTCAGCCTCCCACAACTGGACTACAGGTGCAGACAACCATATGTAGCTATTTTGTTTTTAATTTATTATTATTTTTTAAGGCTAGTCAAGTGAAGCAGTGGGAGTGGAGAAAGAACAAATAAATCTGTAACTGGTTGTGATCAATTAGTTGTAAACACCACAGCACTCGGACCAGCCAGCTATTTTTTTTTTTTTTTGAGACAGAGTCTCACTCTGTCACCCTGGCTGGAATGCAGTGGTTCAATCTCAGCTCACTGCAACCTCTACCTCCCAGGTTCAAGTGACTCTTGCCTCAGCTTCCAGAGTAGCTGGGATTACAGGCACCACCACCATGCCCAGCTAATTTTTGTATTTTTAGTACTAAGAGACCAGGGTTTTACCATGTTGGCCAGGCTGGTCTTAAACTCCTAACCTCAGGTGATTCGCCTGCTTTACTGTCCTAAAGTGCTGAGATTACAGGCTTGAGCCATCACACCTGGCCCTTAGCTAATTTTTAATTTTTTTTTGTAGAGACAGGGTTTCCCTATGATGCTTAGGCTGGTTTTGAACTCTTGGGTCCAAGTAATCCTCCTCCGTCCTCAGCTTCCCAAAGTGCTGGAATTAGATGTGTAAGCTACTATGCCTGGTCAGAAATATCTATTCAGTTTGTGGTCTCCTCCTCCTCCTCCTCTCCCTGCTCCCATTCCCCCTGCCCCCCCGCCATTACATGTGTGAGCTACTGTGCCTGGTCAGAAATATCTATACAGTTTGTGGCTTTTTTTCTCCCCCTGCCTCCCTTATTTCTTCTTCTTCTTTTTTTTTAACCAGGGATGGGGTCTTGCTATGATGAACAGGCTGGAGTGCAATGGCTGTTTATAGGCACTGTCATGGTATACTACAGTCTTGAACTCCTGGGCTCAAGCGATCCCCCTGCCTTAGCTTCCTGAGTAGTTAGGATATAAGCAGGTCCCACTGCGCTTGGTTCTGTGGCATTTTTTGTTGTTTTTTGTTTGTTTGCTTGTTTGAGACAGAGTTTCACTCTTGTTGCCCAGGCTGGAGTGCAGTGGCACAATCTCGGCTCACTGCAACCTCTGCCTCCTGGGTTCAAGTGATTCTCCTGCCTCAGCCTCCCTAGTAGCTGGGATTACAGACTCCCGCCACCACACCCAGCTAATTTTTTGTATTTTTAGTAGAGATGGTGTTTCACTATGTCTGCCAGGCTGGTGTTGAACTCCTAACCTCAGTCGATCCACCTGCCTTGGCCTCCCAAAGTGCTGGGATTACAGGAGTGAGCCACCATGCCCAGCCAGTTCTGTGGAGTTTTTATACTATGCTGCCAAGCTGTTAACACTAGTGAAGCAAATCTATTCATAATAATCCCTGACTAGATCTCTAAGACTTAACGCTGAGCAAAATAGCAAATCGTAGGATGATACATTACCATACATTTTATATAAATAAATACACGCAGGTGTGCCATGCATACACTTACACATACACACCGGTACTGTTCAGTTAAATATATATATGTAAGAGGAGAGAGAAGGGCTTGATAAAATATTTCCCAAAATTTCCAAGACAGTTTGTTACCTTGGGCCAGGAAGAGAGAGAATGAAGATGTCGGTGGAAGTAGGGTATGATCTAAAGGGGCTTTTGTCTTATTTTTGACATTTTACATAGTATTTATTTACTATTTGGCTAATAAAAAGTATGTAAATAGTATTTATGTACTATTTGGCTAATATTCAGTTTCTCTAGCATAATAAAACGGAATAATGTTTCTCATATCTTAAATTCATGTTAAAGTTTACATTTTCTCTTGTAGGTATTGTAATTAAAATATAATTACAATCTGAAAAAAATAAGAACATGGGAACTGTAGCAGGAGATGGGTTGTTGGGTTAGAATCCATGCTTCATGCTCCCTGGCAAGTAAACATGTATTCATTGACTCCTTTTATAGCTCAGCTTTATTTTGTCTTGGGTCCTTTCTCTTTTTCATAATAATTTTATTATTTTTAATACTATATAACAATTCCAATAACATGAAGGTTTATAAAATTAAAATGAACTTATCTCCCCTGTTCACCTCAGACTACTCACTCTGAGGTCATGTTAGTACAGATCCTTTTCCTGCTCAAATTCTTGTTCTGATACTTTCTCCTACCCCACCCAGTAAGCTGGGCTTCAGTCTTCTCTGGTTGATGGCGGAGCTTCTTCTTCCATGGGAAAGGGAAGTCTTCATTTTGAAGCATCCACGGCAGGGGCCTGCAGGCCCTTGCCTTGCCTTGTGTCACCTCCTACCCGAGACTGTGATTTAGTAGGTCTGGAGTTCTACTTGGGCATCTTTATTTTATAAAAAGTTCCCATGGTGATTCTCGTGAACCAGCAGGGTAAAGACTCATTTTATCTAGGGAGTTGCAGAGAAATCATAAATTGTGCCCATGCTGCTGCTTTGAGAATTATTTTTGATAGCTGCTTTATGAGAGTGATGAGCCAGTCAGCTTTATGGAAACAAGCCTGAACTTAGGTCTGTTTTTTTCCAGGAATTTCACAGAACTTTTACTTTAGGTTATTTTCAGCATTTGCGTTTTTCTAACTAAATATTCGACATGGAGCTGCTATTTGAGTCTGAGAAAGTGATCGTGAATTTTTTTTTGAAAATGATGGAAATAAACAGTATACGGCAAACTTAGCTTGTAAACTCTTGCCATTTCCCATTGAAAATGGGTGGGTATAGTAAAAATGACAGGCCAGAGTATTCTTGGGTCTTGCTTTAAAAATGCTTTACCTCCCCAACCGTCTGACTTTTGTACTTTATTTTTTATTTATTTATTTATTTTATTTTTTAGGAAGGGAGGAAAGGAGGAAGGGAGGGAGGGAGGGAGGGAAGGAGGGAGGGAGAGAAGGGAAGGAAGGAAATCAAGCAATGAGAGAGACATTGCCGAACTGGATCTAGAGGTCTACAAGTTGATTTCTTTTTTTGAGAGAAGGAAAGAAAAAAGGAGTGAAGGAGAGGAAGAAAGAGGAAGAAAAAGAGGGAGAGAGAACAGAAATGTTGCTTTATTCTAAAAAAAATGTGTATTAATAATGGCCAATCAATGTTTCATTTAAACCTATGAGTAGGTGTGATGTGGTATTGACAAGAATGTATATTTTGTGTATTTAAAGTGGAGAGCTCTATAAATATTTATTAAGTTTACTTGTTCCGGATCTGAGTTGGAGTCCTTGATATCCTTATTAATTTTCTGTCTCATTGAATCTAAGTCTCTATGTATCTGGGTGTTAGGATCGTTAGCTCTTGTTGTTGCATTGATCCTTACCACTATATCTTCGTTGCTTTAAAATCTATTTTATCAGATATGAGAATTGCAACTCCTGCTTTTTATTTATTTATTTATTTTTGCTCTCCATTTTGTTGGTAAATCTTTCTCCATCCCTTTGTTTTGAGTCTTTGTGTATCCTTGCATGTGAAATGGGTCTGGATGTAACATGCTGTTGGGTTTTGGCTGTATCTTTTGATTGGGGGATTTAGTCGATTTAAATTTAGGGTTACTGTCATTTGATGTTAACTGGCTGTTTTATCCATTTGTTGATGTAAATTCTTCTTTATGTTGATGCTCTTTACTTTTTGGTATATTTTTAGAAAGGCTGATACTGGTTGTTTCTTTCTATGTGTAATGCTTCTTTCAGAAGCTCTTGTAAAGCAGGCCTGGTGGTAATAAAATCTCTGAGTACTTGCTTGTTCATAAAAGATTTTATTTTTCCTTCAGTTGTGAAGCTTAGTTTGGCTGGATATGAAATTCTGGGCTGAAAGTTCTGTTCTTTAAGGATGTTGAATATTGGCCCCCACTCTCTTCTGGCTTGTAGAGTTTCTACTGAGAGATCTGCTGTAAGTCTGATAGGCTTCCCTTTGTGGGTAACCTGACCTTTCTCTCTGGCAGCTCTTAGTATTTCCTCCTTCGTTTCAACCCTGGTGAATCTAACAATTATGTGCCTTGGGGTTGCTCTTCTTGAGGAATATCTTTGTGGTGGTCTCTGTATTACCTGGGGTTGAATATTGTCCTGCTTTGCTAGTTTAGGAAAATTTTCCTGAATAATATCCTGAAGACTATTTTCCACCTTGGATTCATTCTCTCCGTCGTATTCAGGTACACCTGTCAACCATAAATTTGGTCTTTTCACATAGTCCCACATTTCTTGGAGACTTTGCTCATTCCTTTTTATCCTTTTTTCTCTAATCTTGTCTTCTTGTTTGATTTCATTAAGTTGGACTTCGACCTCTGATATCCTTTCTTCTGCTTCAACAATTTGAGTGTTTAAACCTGTGCATACTTCTCGGAGTTCCCGTATTGTATTCTTCAGTTCCATTAATTCACTTATATTCCTCTCTAAGTTGTCTATTCTCATTAGGATTTCGTCAAACCTTTTGTCAAAGTTCTTAGTTTCTTTACATTGGGCTACAACATGTTCTTTTAACTCACAGAAGTTTCCTATTATCCATGTTCTGAAGCCTGATTCTGTTATTGGGATGCACTGGTTCTCCATCAAGTCTTGTTCCCTTGTTGATGAGGAACTGTGATCCTCTTTGGAGGGAGAGGCGTTCTGATTTTGAGTATTCTCAGCCTTTTTACGCTGGTTTCTTCCCATCATTGTAAATTTATCCACCTGTCGTCTTTATAATTACCAACTTTCAAATTAGGTCTCTGAGTGGACGTCCAAGTTGTTAATTCCCAGGGCCGAAATATGAGCAACCCACTGCGCTGGCCAAAACAGCGGCGTTAAGACAGATGGTGCTTTTCTGCCTGGGAATCTCCAGTCTGGCTTCCTTCTTGAATCCGTAATAGGCGACTCTGCCTTCCCGAGTCCGTGATAGGCGACTCTGCCTTCCCGAGTCTGTAACAGGCAATTCTGCCTTCCCGGAGCTCCAAACCTTAGTCAGAAGGGGAACCAGTCCCGTTTACTCTGCACCGAGAGCTGCCGCTCCGAGGTGCCGGCGAAACCGCTGTGCCGGCCACAAGAGTAGCACTGGCGAACCGTGGAGCTCCTCCACTGGGAATCTTCTGCTCCGTGAGCGACCAAAATTTGTCTGAAAGTGTGGCATCCTCTTGTTCTCTGAGGTTTCAGTGGGAGCTGCAATCCTGAGATGTTAGTGATTGGCCATCTTGGATCGTTCCGTCTGTACTTTATTTTAATGTGTTTGCCTGAGATGTGAGCGAGAAATTCATGTGACTCAAAACTTAACACTAACTTAGTATTATTATGTTTGCAGACATAAAACTTGCAGAACTCCATAAAAGCCATTTAGATACTTTATTGGTCTTATTCAGTTTCTCTAGAATAATAAACTGAGTAATCTTTCTCATATCTTAAATTTATGTTAAAGTTTACATTTTCTCTTGTAGGTATTCTCATGGGAGCAGTTATAAAAATCATAGAGTTTAAAAAACTGGCCAACTGGAAGGTAAGTTTGCCCAACTGTTCGTTTTTAATATAATCACAGTTTTTGGTTGTTCTTAATTTTAGTAACAGTGATGGTTATGCTGACTTTTTTGTAATTACTTGGCTATCAGTGGAGTTGTTTGTGTAATTATATATCCCATTAATTTTTAAGATTTTATTAGATACAGTTGATGCCTTTTTATCTGAGTTTTTGCAAAAGCATAAATCTCATACTGTTTCAAGTCAGCGTGGGAGCACCAATGTAATTTTTTTGTGTTATTTTACTTGCATTTTTATAATCCTAGACTAACCTACTTTATTAGGCAAGAAAATTCTCTAATTAGCATTAAACATTAAATACTGTTTATTGCTCCCTATTCCATCCTAACAGCTGAGGATAATAAAACATACTTGTCCAGTACTTTGAGACACAGTACGTCATGTATTGTAGCCCATATTATCCTCATGACAGTCATGTGAGGTGGATTGACTGAGTATTGTAATTTCATCACCCTGTTTTTACAGATGAAAAAAGTGACATTCAGGGAGATTGAGATGTATTCAGTGTCACAGAACTGGAAAGAACGTGGCTGAGTGGAGTCTTGTGTCCAAATCCCCCGGCCTGAACATGCAGTGTTCTGTCCACCATACCACACTGTCCTTGGTTTCCTGATACACGTACCCTTGTGTTTATGCAGAGGTTGTTAGAGTATGAGCATCATCCTGGGGATGATGGACTCATTGAAACTGGAATTTCAACTTCAACTTGAGCATCCATGTTGAGTAGGGCAAGATTAGCAAGTATGCTACAAAATGGATTTTGTGGAGGAAAATAAGATTCATTTCAAAATAATAAATAATTAGATGGCTAAAATTGATCACATTTGAGCCCTTCCTACTTCGATGCAGCTCCTAGGTGCTAGAATTAATTTACCTGTGAAACTGTAGGGTATAAAATTAGCAAGACAAACCTTATAGCATAACGTAAAACACAATTTGAAGCTGTTATAAGTGGTAGTAATGAAATATTTTATATATTAAATAAATTTTCAAAATATATTTTGAGCTTCGAATAGTGATAGGACACATCTTAGCTGGGGAAGCCTGACTGGAGCACGTTATAGGTGGGATCTCTGCCTTCCTCTGACTTGGTTACATTTAACCACTCTAAGAGTGGGTCAGTACTGACTGGAGACCCTTTCTCTACTCCTAGACTGGATATAGCCTGATGTGTAGATTTTGTCCACTAACCCATTTTGTTTGATCTGATTTAAAAATCAGTTGATTGCCAGGCGCAGTGGCTCAAGCCTGTAATCCCAGCACTTTGGGAGGCCGAGGTGGGTGGATCACGAGGTCAAGAGATCGAGACCATCCTGGTCAACATGATGAAACCCCGTCTCTACTAAAAATACAAAAAATTAGCTGGGCATGGTGGCACGTGCCTGTAATCCCAGCTACTCAGGAGGCTGAGGCAGGAGAATTGCCTGAACTCAGGATGCGGAGGTTGCGGTGAGCCGAGATTGTGCCATTGCACTCGAGCCTGGGTAACAAGAGTGAAACTCCATCTCAAAAATTAAAAAAATTAAAAAAGTTAAAAAAAATAAAAATCAGTTGATCAAGATTGGGCATGGTGGCTCATGTCTGCAATCCCAGCACTCTGGGAGACCGAGATGAGTGGATCACCTGAGCTCAGGAGCTCGAGACCAGCCTGGGCAACATGGGGAAACCCTGTCTCTACAAAAATAGAAAAAAATAAAAAATAAAAATTCAATTGATAAAAATTTAAATTGACTTCAAAACACTTAAAAATTGTTAGATTTTGGCTGGGTGCAGTGGCTGATGCCTGTAATCCTTGGCCTTTGAGAGGCCAAGTTGGGTGAATCACCTGAGTTCAGGAGTTCGAGACTGGCCTGGCCAACATGGTGAAACCCATCTCTACTAAAAATACAAAAAATTAGCTGGGCGTGGTGGCATGCATCTCTAGTCCCAGCTACTTGGGAGGCTAAGGCATGAGAATTACTTGAACCTGGGAGGCAGAGGTTGCAGTGAGCCAAGACTGAGCCACTGCACTCCAGCCTGGGTGACAGAGTGAGACTCTGTCTGAAAAAAAAGTTAAATTTTAAAATATTACCAGTCTGTATAAAATTCTGGAAATTTTACATGAAATCTGGAACTTCTAGCTTCTCTTGGAAAAGCAGAAGCTCTGTTAATACTAGGTCCAACAGTGATCAGAGCCAGTGAGCAGGGGCTCATTTCCCAGGTCTCATGCAGTGTAGTCCCAAGAAACCTTTGCTTATGACCCCTGCTCTAAGCAGTGGCAATGGGGAATGGGAGATGATCTTTCACTTCTGGTTTTATATGCATCATTGTTACCAAATTTATATTCCAATAGATGTTACTTTTCAAGATAAAATAATAGAATGTATTTAATAGTACAGACCATGAAACCAAAGTTAGGTGATGGATGTGATTAAGTGCCTAAAGTGTCATCCAGACAACCAGTGCTTGACTTCAGAAAAAGGCAGTATTGGGGGTGTTGGCACGTGCCTGTGGTCCCAACTACTTGGGAGGCTGAGGCAGGAGGATTGCTTGAGCCTAGGAGTTTGAGGCTGCAGTTGGTTATAACTGCACCACTGCAGTCCAGCCTGGGCAACAGAGGTGTCTCTAAAAAAAAAAAAAAAGGGCAGGCTTCCTGGAGGAGCCTGCATTTGTGGAGAGTCAGAGTGGGAAGCAGGACACCTCTCTGGAAACCAGATGTGCCGGGAGCAGTGGGAAGTCAGGAAAACAAGAGGAGCTCGTGGTTTCTTTCCATGAAGTTCTGCTTCCAAACTGACCTGCTGGGTCTGCCTTCTACTTGTATTATCATGTGCTTAATATTTTTCTATCAACTTGTTTTTTAATTGTAAATACATATGTACATTTATATTTTCTCTATACATATTTTATTTATTTATTTATTTTGAGACAGAGTCTTGCTTGGTTGCCCAGGCTGGAGTGCAGTGGTGCAATCTCAGCTCAGTGCACCCTCTGCCTCCCAGGTTCAAATGATTCTCCTGTCTCAGCCTCCTGAGTGGCTGGGCAGAAGAACAGACGTGCACCACCATACCTGGCTAATTTTTGTATTTTTAGTAGAGACAGCATTTCACCATGTTAGCCAGGCTGGTCTCAAACTCCTGACCTCAAGTGATCCACTTGCCTTGGCCTCCCAAAGTGCTGGGATTACAGGCATGAGCCACTGTGCCTGGCTGTGGCTAATTTTTTTTTTTTTTTGAGACAGAGTCTCTCTCCATCACCAGGCGCCAGGCTGGAGTGTGGCGCAATATCCGCTCACTGCAACCTCCGCCTCCTGGGTTCAAGCAATTCTCCTGCCTCAGCCTCCCGAGTAGCTGGGACTACAGGCGCTCACCACCACGCCCAGCTAATTTTTGTATATTTAGTAGAGATGGGGTTTCACCATGTTGGCCAAGATGATCTCGATCTCTTGACCTCGTGATTCGCCCGCCTCGGCCTCCCAAAGTGCTGGGATTACAGGCGTGAGCCACTGCTCCCGGCCTGTGGCTAATTTTTTAAATAATTTTTTGTGGCTGGGCATGGTAGCTCACGCCTATAATCCCAGCATTTTGGGAGGCCAAGGCAGGTGGATCACAAGATCAGGAGTTCAAGACCAGCCTGGCTAGCATGGTAAAACCCTGTCTCTACTAAAAAAAATACAAAAAATTAGCCAGACGGGATGGGGTATGCCTATAATCCCAGCTACTTGGGAGGCTGAGGCAGGAGAATCACTTGAACCCAGGTTGCAGTGAGCCTGAATTGTGCCACTGTACTCCAGCCTGGGCGATAGAATGAGTGTCTCAAGAAAAAAAAAAATTTGGCTGGGTGCGGTGGCTCACACCTGTAATCCTAGCACTTTGGGAGGCCAAGGTGGGTGGATCATCAGAGGTCAGGAGTTCAAGACCAGCCTGGCCGTCATGGTGAAACCCTATCTTAAAAAAAAAAAAAATTGTTTTTTGTAGAGATGGGATATCACTATGCTGCCCAGGCTGATCTTGAATTCCTAAGCCCAAGTGTTCTTCCCGCCTTGGCCTCCCGAAGTGTTAGGATTATAGGTGTGAGCCACCCTGCCTGTCCTATATACTTTTTTTTTTTTTTTTTTGCCAGGGGGCAGGAGGGCTGGGGACAGTCTCACTCTGTTGCCAGGCTGGAGTGCAATGGTGTGATCTCAGCTCACTGCAACCTCCACCTCCCGGGTTCAAGCAATTCTCCTGCCTCAGTCTCCTGAGTAGCTAAGTCTCCTGAGTCTCCAAGTCCTGACCTCGTGATCCACCTACCTTGGCCTCCCAGAGTGTTGGGATTACAGGCATGAGCCACCGTGCCCACCCATATTTATTTTCAAGGCAACGTTAGTACTCTTTTAATTCAGAAACTAATATTGTTTTGTAAACATGATAAAAATGAAGTAGTACAGATGCCTGCTGAAGCATCAGGGCAGCCGAAGCTGCTCTCTGTCAAGGGAGATCAGCACATTGGAGAGAGCCCTTAGAGGCAGTATTGCCATCCTAAGATGTCTTTGATTTATTTGGGACGGAAGAAATAATCAAAAGGGGCTGACTTTCAATTCATTAAGTCAGTGGTATTTGACACACGTTGCTCAAGTGCCACCTAAAACCACCTCAGACCATTTTGGGGGAGTCATTGACAAGAGGAGCTACAACACCGTTTCACTGAAAGGCACTGTATTCATAAGGGCTGCAGTAACAAATTACCACAAACTGAGTGGCTTAAAACAACAAAGATTTGTTTTCTCACAGTTCTGGAGGCCGAAAGTGAGAAAAGGTATCAGTAGGACCAGGTTCCCTCCAAAGACTCTCAAAAAGAATTCTTCATTGTGTCTTCCAGCTTCTGGTGGCCCAGGTTTTCCTTGGCCTGTGGCTGTGTCACTCTTGTCTCTGTGCCCACATGGGCTTCTTCTCTGTGCTTTGTTCTGTCTCTGACAAGTCAACGTTTGCTGCATTTGGCCTTCCCTTATCTAGTGTAATGTCATCTAGAACCTTACCTTCATTAGATCTACAGAGATTCTATTTCCAAATAAGGTCACATTCTGAGGGTCCTGGTAGATATGAACTGGGGTGGGGGTTGGGGTATACCGTGTAACTCCATTATAGGTAGATTCTCCTTCTTCCCAGGAGGGATTAGTTTTGCACCTCCAAAAGGCTGTATATAGTGGTCCTGCTGCACAGATCATGGGAATAGGTTGCCCCGTAAAACCCAGAGCTTGGCCCATTTTTTTTCACACAGTCCCAGTCTGAATCATGAGCTTATTGTATATGCTGCTATTTTAAAACTTAAGGCATTTCAGAAGTCATCATTTGCTTCTATTTTGAGCCTTTTTTGAATATTTTTTTAGTCTTTATGGTAACAGCTGTACATTTGTAGGAATACATTTAGGCATTCTTTGGATTAGGGGTTTTGACAAGAAATTAGACCGTTAAAATTGTGACGCGGGAAATATTCATATGAAAAAAGGCCTGATTTTGTTTTTTTTTGAGATGGAGTTTTGCTCTTGTTGCCCAGGCTGAAGTGCAATGGCACGATATTGGCTCACTGCAACCTCTGCCTCCCGGGTTCAAGCAGTTCTCCAGCCTCAGCCTCCCAAGTAGCTGAGATTACAGGCATGCGCCACCACGCCCAGCTAATTTTGTATTTTTAGGAGAGATGGGGTTTCTCCATGTTGGTCAGACTGGTGTTGAACTCCCGACCTCAGCTGATCTGCCCACCTCAGCCTCTCAAAGTGCTGAATTACAGGCGTGAGCCACTGCACTGGGCCTGATTTTGCATTTTTAAATAGACTGTGTATTACATATAACCATTTTGGGCTTGAGGACCAATATATATTTCCCCCAAATTCTACCAACAACTAGAGAGATATATTAATAATATAGAAAATGAAATTATTATATCATCCCTTCAAAGATGGCTGGTTATATTCTAGAAACATCTTTCCTAATGGCATTTAATATTCAAGTCTGGAAGAGTGGTGCTGTGGTTTGGGTGTTTGTCTCCCCAAACTTCATGTTGAAATTTGATCTTAGGGTTAGAGGTGTTTGGGTCATGGGGGCAGACCCTCATGGATAGACTGATGCCCTTGCTCGGTGGTGGCGGGTGGTGGGTGAGTTCTTACTCTGTTAGTTCCCTATACAGCTGATTGTTAAAAAGAGCCTGGTCCTGCCTCCCTGCCCCCCCGCTTCCTCTCTTGCCATGAATCTCTGCATACTCTGGCTCCCCTTCTCTTCCTCCATGAATGGAAGCAGCCTAAGGTTCTTACCAGATACCCAGTCTTGAACTTTTCCAGACAGCAGAATCATGAGCCAAATAAATGTTATTCCTTTGTAAATTACCCAGCCTCAGGCATTCTTTTATAGCAGGACACATACATGGTAAGGGGCTGTCTTCCCAGCCAAATCCCAAGTCCAAAGAGCATCCACTGGGGACTGTTTCATCATATCAGACTTTGGAAAATGGCAGAGTAGTCTGTGACAAACAGAAAGAAGACAGCTATTTTAACCATATGTAGGATTTACTGTTCCTCTGAGTGGATTGTTTTAGGACTTACCATTACCTTTTTCCTGGAGGATTCCAGTTTGTGGACTTGTTTTGAAAGTATGCAACCAGAATTGAAATTTTCTATATTCAGATTAATTTTCTTTCTGTACTAAGGAATAAAAAACATACTACTGTGTGTTTGGAAGCAGTTCGTTGTGCTATTTCTTTTTGCCAGTCACCTTTAAAATCCTTGTCCGTGCCTGTAATCTCTGAGCTTTGGGAAGCTTAGGTTGGGAGGATTGCTTGAGGCTAGGAGTTTGAGACTAGCCTGGGCAACACAATGGGACCCTGTATCTACAAAAAAAAAATAAGAAAGAAAAAAATTAGCTTAGTGTAGTGGTGCGCACTTGTAGTCCCAGCTCCTCAGGAGGCTAAAGTGAGAGGATCACTTGAGCCCAGGAGGTTGAAGCTGCAGGGAGCTGTGATTACACCACTGCACTGTAGCCTGGGCAACAGAGCAAGACTGTCTCAAAATAATAATAATATAATAATAATAAAATGCGGTTTTATTTTTTTTGGTGGGGGGACCTCTCATTCTGCTTGATTTTATTGTCAAGTAGTTATTTAAACAGTATACGTTTCTACTATACCAGGCCCTGAGAGGAGAATTGTTTTGGCTCTTTATTGATGAATTTATTTCTTAATTACACAAATTTCATGCCTCTTAAGACACCCATTTTCTATTTACAGGAAGAAGAAATGTTTCGTCCAAACATGTTTTTCCTCCTCCTGCTTCCCCCTATTATCTTTGAGTCTGGATATTCATTACACAAGGTGAGACTCTGGCACACATTGGTGCTTTGGTCTGGGGGGTTTCTCATGTTGTAAGGCAAGTTTCTTAAAAGCTTGGGTGTTAATTTAGCAGCAGCAGCAGCAGCTCTGCTCCTTCTTGGGTGTGCTCAGTGGAAGCTGGACTACAGTGCCTGACTTCTGGAGAGGAGCAGACATGATCAGTTGGCTGCTTGAAAGGTTTCAGGCAGGGTGACTCACTGAGCCTGTGTTTTCTGTAAACGTGTGCTTTGCCCAGGAAGATGGCTGAAGTGATGTTAAGTGGTGCACAAATGATGCATTGACTCATCTTATTGGACACAGACTGATACATGTAAAGAGGATAGACTGTGTCCTGGGACGACGGGGACATGTGCCCCAGGGCTTTTCCTGCTTTCAGCTGCCACATTGGGGCCTTTCTAACCTCCTCAGGCCCATCCATCCTTCCTTGTCTCCCTCTCTCAGTGCTCTCCCCTGGTGTCAGATCCTAGCTTGATATCCTTCCTCCCCCAATCTCTGTCTCTTCTCGCTCACTCCCTGGTCCAGCTTCTCAGGCTGGAGCCCCATCCTTCCTTGCCTGGTCCCACAGTTGCCCCACCCATTCTTGCCTCCCTGCCCTGGCAAACAGTGGCGGTAGTCCCTACCCACTTCTCTGCTTTGGCTTGGCCTTGATGGCCTTTGCCTTGCAACTCCCACCAAGGGTATTTATTTATTTATTTTGAGATGGAGTCTTGCTCTGTTGTCCAGGCTGGAGTGCAGTGGCATAATCTTGGCTCACTGCAACCTCTGCCTCGTGGATTCAAGAGTTCTCCTGCCTCAGCCTCCTGAGTAACTGAGATTACAGGTGCGCACCACCACACCCAGCTAATTTTTGTATTTTTTGTAGGGGCGGGGTTTCACCATGTTGGCTAGGCTTGTCTCGAACTCCTGGCCTCAAGTGATCCATCCACGTCAGCCTCCCGGAGTGCTGGGATTACAGGTGTGAGCCACCACACCCAGCCCCCCAGTGTGAGACTTTCTGCCTGGGCAGGAGCTTCTCAGTTTTAAGCCTGTTTGTGTGAGTTTTTTTCCTTGTCTGTGAGTTTTTTTTAAACATAATGTATTTCAGTTTTAAAATAAAGTGATTCAGCTTAAAATACTAGTATTGGCTGGGTGCTGTGGCTCATGTCTATTATCTCAGCACTTTGGGAGGCTAGGGCAGGCAGATCACATGAGATCAGGAGTTCAAGACCAGCCTGACCAACAATGGAGAAACCCCATCCCTACTAAAAATAAAAAATCAGCCAGGCTGGCTTGCACATGCCTGTAATTCCAGTTACTGGGGTGGCTGGGGCAGGAGAATCGCTTGAACCCAGAAGATGGAGTTTGCAGTGACGTGAGTTCGCACCATTACACTCCAGCCTGGGCAACAAGAGAGAAACTTCATCTTAAAAAAAAAAATGCTAATGTTAATAATATAACAGCTATTTTGTGAATATTATCTTTTTTTTTTTTAAATTGTGAAGATTGGAAAGTTCAGGGCAGCCCTTGGAGAGAGGAAAGCCAGAGAGACACAACACAGGGCTAATCATGTGCTGCCCTCTCCAGGTTTCTTTTTGGTAAAGTAGAAACCAAAAACCCTAAAACCCTACCTTCCAGGAGGCTTTGAGATTTACATTAGATGAAAGAATGTAGGTAAATCACCACTTACCACACTAAATAAATGGAGTGCTGCTTCTTGTTGTTATTAATGATAAAAATGTTATTGTTAATAACAATATTACCACCAGTAGTAGTAATAATAACTTATTTAACTTAATATGGTTGGGGCAGTGGCTCATGCCTACAATCCCAGCACTTTGGGAGGCCGAGGTGGGTAGGTCACTTGAGATCAGGAGTTCAAGAGTAGCCTGGCCAACATGGTGAAACCCCATCTCTACTAAAAATACAAAAATTAGCCAGGCGTGGTTGAGCATGCCTGTAATTCCAGCTACTCCAGAGGCTGAGGCATGAGAATCGCTTGAACCTTGGAAGTGGAGCTTGCAGTAAGCTGAGGTTGTGCCATTGCACTCCATCTTGGGTGATAGAGGGACACTTTGTCTTAAAAATAAAGAAATAAAAATAAACTTGACTTGTTGTTGACATGGTATAAATAAATAATTTTTTAAAATGAGTTAGATTTGTCTAGAAATTTTTGGTAAAAACATAGAAATTAAGTCTTTAATTTTTCTGTACTAAGACAAAAATATATTAAGATGTTCAGTCCAGATGTTTTTATTGTTTTATTGTGCATCTATCCAAAGAAAAAGTGAAAAGGAAGTTTATTTATTTTATTTTATTTTTATTCTTTTTTTTGAGACAGAGTTTTGCTCTTGTAGCCCAGGCTGGAGTGCAAGAGCATGATCTTGGCTCACCGCAACCTCTACCTCCTGGGTTCAAGCAGTTCTCCTGCCTCAGCCTCCCGAGTATCTGGGACTACAGGCATGTGCCACCATGCCTGGCTAATTTTTCTATTTTTTTTTTTTTTTGAGACGGAGTTTTGCTGTTGTTACCTAGACTGGAGTGCAATGGCACGATCTCCGCTCACCGCAACCTCCGCCTTCTGGGTTCAAGCAATTCTCCTGCCTCAGCCTCCTGAGTAGCTGGACTACAGGGGCACACCAACACACCCAGTTAATTTTTGTATTTTTAGTAGAGACGGGGTTTCACCTTGTTGACCAGGATGGTCTCGATCTCTTGACCTTGTGATCTACCTGCCTCGGCCTCCCAAAGTGCTGGGATTATAGGCGTGAGCCACCACGCCCGGCCAATTTTTCTATTTTTAATAGAGATGAGGTTTCACCATATTGGCCAGGCTGGTCTCGAATTCTTGAGAACCTTGTGATCCACCCTCCTCAGCCTCCCAAAGTACGGGGATTACAGGCATACACCACCACACCCAGCTGAAAAGGAAGTTTAATGTAAAAAATATTCCCAAGTCTTACAAACTGTTACTGACATCTGATAATTTTTTTTTTTTTTTGAGACGGAGTTTCGCTCTTGTTACCCAGGCTGGAGTGCAATGGCGCGATCTCGGCTCACTGCAACCTCCGCCTCCTGGGTTCAGGCAATTCTCCCGCCTCAGCCTCCTGAGTAGCTGGGATTACAGGCACGCACCACCATGCCCAGCTAATTTTTTATATTTTTAGTAGAGACAGGGTTTCACCATGTTGACCAGAATGGTCTCAATCTCTTGACCTCGTGATCCACCCGCCTCGGCCTCCCAAAGTGCTGGGATTGCAGGCTTGAGCCACTGCGCCCGGCCACAGATAATTTTTTAAAAAGAAACAAGGAAACATAAGTTGAAGGTCACCCTGTCTTTCCTTCTTTTACTTTGTAAGCAAATCTTAACTGTAAGCAGATTATGAAATATTTCAAAACATGCTGAGGAAATTGACTTGATTTTTACTTACAAACATGACATTTTGAATATTTGAGCATGTAAAGATTTTATTTTCTATTTTTTTGCAGGAGAGGGAAGGGAGATAAACTTGTGCAAAATTTGAGGAAAGTAATAGTTTCTTAGAAAAACATTTTGTTGAAGATGACTTTCCAGCAGAAAATATGACAATTTATATGAAAGGGACTGAGAGGATGATGAAATGCCAATTCTGAAACTTTTGTCCACTTTCTATCCTCACCCAAAGATGATAGGAAGTAAACTTTGAATGTTTTATTTTAATATTGTGATATTTGCTAATGTAAATTTGGACTTGGAATACAAATTTCAGTAAGATTATCATCAGTTGATGTGCATTAGCTAGGCAGCTACTGGTTCTTTAAATTGTTAAATATTACACAAATAATAGGATGTTAATTATGTCTAAGAGAAACATAAATTTATTTTATGTAGCAGAGGGAAGTTCTTGTAGTGTGATAACTTGAATTTGGGTAAATGTTCAGGAATGAGATTAATATTAACTATATAAATTATATCAACATTAGATCTCGGCACACAGGTCAAAATTGATTAATCTGTTTTTAAGTGACAAAACAGTGATTTGCAAAGAGAGACTCATAGATTGAAAGCCCTTTGTTTTGAAAAACCAAATTATTGTGTTTGCCTTGAGTTATTTTAAAATTCTTTGTGCAGTAAAGATTGATATGCTAAACAAAGGAATTGAATGTCAGATTATAGGCAGCCAAGTCAAAATTGCAAAGAAACTTCCAAGAGGTAGGTTTAGTGGGGGCAGTCAGTGTTCAGCTGAGGACACTCTTTCATAAGAGGGCTTTAAAATGCCAGGTCCTGATGTCCCTGGTTTGGCAATTTCTGAGCTAAAAACAAGATTCTTGTTCACACCCACAGTTGGGGGTGATCAAAGCCTCTTGGTAGCTCCTAAATGGAGTCCATAGGATTATAATAAATAGCTTAATTTCCTTAATTTAATGGAAATTTGAAGGATGTTACCATGCTGCTTGGACTTGAATATTTTCTCTTCAATGCTATGAAATACAGATGGAAACATTTTATCTGTCATAGTTAATGATGATACTAATAGAGTAAAGTAAAATTGTTTAAAAGACCTGGCCAGGAAAAAGGACTCTTTGATAGTGTATCTTGATATCCTAATTCTGTGGACTTTGGGCCTTAGATGTGAAGCAGTTAATTCCTTCAGTGCCTGTCTGTTGGGCATCCTCCATCTGATGGGCGTTATGTCAGGGACTGTGTTGTTCGAGAGCAGATGTGGTCATTGTCCTGAGCCTGCAGCCTCATGGGAAAGTCAGACATCAGTTACATAAATAAGAGCAAAATTGCAGCCTTGTCAATGGCAACAGGAGAGGGTGGCTGTGCCCTGAGAACATAGACTAAGATCTGAGCTGGGAGCTGGCTGAGGGATCGGGAAGAGTTGAAATGTCCTGAGATCTCAGGATGATAAAAGTGTAACAAGCAAAGAGGGAGCACAATCTGCTAGAAGCCACCAGTGGGACTAGAGCCCAGAGAACAAAGGCGAACATGGTCCCAGATGAGCCTAGAGGCCTCTCCAGGGGCTGAGTCATCCAGGGTGGAGACTAGCTGCATTTTTTTTTTTTTGAGACAGAGTCTTGCTCTGTCGCCAGGTGCCAGGGTGGAGTGCAGTGGCATGATCTCGGCTCACTACAACCTCTGCCTCCCAGGTTCAAGCAATTCTCCTGCCGCAGCCTCCCGAGTAGCTGCAACTACAGGTGCACACCACCACGCCCAGCTAATTTTTTTGTATTTTCAGTAGAGACGACGTTTCACCATGTTGGCCAGGATGGTCTTGATCTCTTGACCTCGTGATCCGCCCGTCTCAGCCTCCCAAAGTGCTGGGATTACAGACGTGAGCCACCGCACCTGGCCTAGCTGCAATTTAAGTGGAAGTAGGGGTCCAGGTGAAGGCAGCACCATCAGATTTGTCTTTTGTGAAGATCATTCTGGAAGTACTGGATAGTGGAGGGAAAGGGACCTGGAGGCATTGAGGTGACTTGTGCGAAGCTGTGCAGTGTTCCAGGTGAAAGATGATATGAGTGAGGGGACACTGCAGTAGGTGGGGGAGTGTGGTGCAGGAAGACTCCCAGACTCCCAGACTCCCAGCTTGCCATGCAGGGTGGGCAGTGGTGCCTTTTACCAAGAATTAAGTCTGTAAGGAGGGCGAGGTGTGCAGGCCATGCCTTCACTGACAGGACTGGCTTTCTAATCATTTCCCTAATTTCTGCTCTTTCAAACAGGGTAACTTTTTTCAAAATATTGGTTCCATCACCCTGTTTGCTGTGTTTGGGACGGCAATCTCTGCTTTTGTAGTAGGTGGAGGAATTTATTTTCTGGGTCAGGTAAGAAAATCATCTTTGAAATACTTTGAAAGTCTTTCATTCTTAGAGCTAGTGCCAGGAGGTGGGAAGGTGAAATGGGGTCACTTCGTGGGGCCTGGGTTTCATCCTTAGGGTAAATTCCTTCTGGAAGGAAATCCTAGCTTCATATGAGGCACAGTAGAGGCAGGCTAAATTGTTTCAGTGTGTCCCCCAAGATCTTTGGTATCTGGAATTTAGTAAAGCTTTTCTATACTCCCCTCCCCCCCATAGTGTTTGATTTTATTTGCAAACCTATGCTGCCTTAAATTGGAATACCTAAAAATAAAGCCAAATAGATGCCATCAAGAACTTCAGACAGTTGTGTTGTCAGGTAGACTGAATTGGGTTGAATGCTGTTTTTTGATAAAAATTTGCATTTTAAAATCAAACGTGCTTTTCTGCTGGCATTGGAGAAATACTAAAATCAAAGATGATTCTGAATCTGTTCACTCAATTCTAAGCTGTCTACCTGTAGAATTATATACTCTAGATTTTCCACAATTACTAAACCACTTCCCAGTGCTATCAGTTGGCTGTTCTCTACTTTAGACTTCAAATTAATTCAAATTAATATAGACCAAACATCCCTAGGAAGGTAGTACTGTAGTTTTGCATTATCCATGTCCATGCATGTCACATCTTCTCCTTTATTGTCAGTTGCAGAAACTTTGACTGTCCCAGTTCTGAAAACTGAGTTGAGGGTCAGGTGTCTGGGTGACAGGCAGATTTATTTAACACATGTCAGTTACTCTTCTCTCAATAGCCAAAGCCCATTCCATTGGATTTTCACCTATATTGCTGCTTTGAGGGCACCAGAATAAATCTGTCTGTCATGCAGCTTTCTTTATTGCTCAGCGTCTAGTATTAAGTAAGAATAAACTTAAGGAAACTGCAGTTAATTGGGCTTGACAAATGTAGCATTCTTTTCCGTGCTTTTGCTGCATGATGATGGAATGCATGCTTCAACAAAAACTTAGGAGCTGCCTTTATTTTTCAAGTGGTTTGGGAACTGAAGATTAATGTCCTTAATAGTTTTAATAAAGCACTAATGGACATTTAAATCTTCTTGGCTGTTCTCCAGGGTTTTTTTTGTGTGTCTGTGTGTTTGTGTGTTTTATTTTACAGGCTGATGTAATCTCTAAACTCAACATGACAGACAGGTAAATCCTTCATATTGTAACACCCATAAGACTGCTTTTCACACAGGGGCACATTTTCTCCACATTGCTTCCTGGGTGTGGTACCATTCTATTCTCGCTCTGTATATTTAGTTTTGGTAAGGATTTCTGCTGTAGAATCTTACTGTGAGTTAATTTGTATCTCTGAAATGAATCAAAACTGTACTAAAGACTTTTGAAGCTCCCTAGTTGGGCATTGCTGATTGGAATGATTTAGTTTAAGCTTTGGAGGGGGTTACTCTGCTCAGTTAACTGCCCTGCCCATGTGCATACAAACACCTTACCATTGTGTTCTTATTATTTCCAAGGCTTCTCAGTCGCCATAACAAAAAGTTGTCTCCTTGATAGATTATGGATGGAGTGGGGAGTGAGGAAGAAACTTTCCTCTGAGATTCCCACCAAGCCTGGGGTGGGGGAAGCAGGGCCAAGACCTCTATGGTGGTTATTGTAGAAAGCCCTTCCATCTGAAGTCACTCCCGTGAGCACCCATCCAAGAATTCCCAGAATTGCATAGTGAGGAGCAGCTTCAGTAGGTTGAGGCAGTTGTCTCTCAGAAGGTACCAGATCTTGTGCTGAAAAAGTGCCCATGCAGAGTGTAGTCTGGGTTCCCCGCTCTTGAGAGTATGTAGCCTTGCTCAGTGTGTCTGCATTTACCACTGGCGCCTGGTTTGGTCTTGTGGCATGGCTAGGGAGCTGGGCAGCAGGGCCACAAGTTCATCCCCAGCTCCTTGCTGTGGGGTCAGTCAGAGCTTTCAGGATTTAGCAGCAGTTTAGCAACTTGGGACTAGATTCTGGGAACCCTTTTCATAGGAACTGTGTCTCTGATAACAAGTCCAGTCCTATTTCTACCTCAGCTCACCACCCACCCCAGCCCAGGACATCAATTTAGGAGCTTTTGTTGTAAGACACTTTTGATACATAAACAAGTAGCGAAAGCCACATTCCTATTCCGTGGCAGCTGGAAACAAAGCAGAACTGATGTCCTGTGTTTTGTAGGTACTTTGCAAATGAAAAGAAATGCCCAGTAAAGGAAGGTATCACAGTATTCAAACCTTCAGCCCGTTTTGGGAGCAACTGCTTAGAGATACAGACAGTGCTGGATAACTTTCTGTGAAGTTGAATTGAATCAGTGTTTGGGATGTTCAGGTGGAGGACAGGAAACGAATTGCCCTGTAGACACGCTGACTAAGAGCTGGGTTGCGTTTTCTTCTCTGTGTGCAGAAGCTTCCTTTGCTATTAGAAAGTGACGGTCCCATGGATGGGGAATGCTCTGGGGTCGCAAGCCCACACAGCCACAGGGCCTGGCAGAGCACTTAACAGGGAAGCTGGCCAGCTGTGTGACTCCAGAGGTGGGGCAAGGCCAATGGGAGAACACACTCTGCATGAAGGGACAGCCACTTCTCAGCTCCAACTCATAATTACCATGCGGAAATCTGGGCCCAGAATTAGTGGATATTTTAAATAATTTTTTTTTTTTTTCGAAAAGAGGCTAGGTCTCTAGATTGTAATTTTCCAGTTTTTCAATGTTGATAGCTTGCTCCGTTTTCCACAAAAACCATGCAGACCACAGACCACCTTTTGCAACCGGTAGAAAACATGAAAATAACTTCGTTGCACGTGTTCTGTTTTGGTCTAGTGATATCTTGCTGGAGAGAGATTTCACTCTTAGAGATCCTGAATTATTTCACTACCTTAGTCCATTTCTTTTTCATCTTGTTGATGTTGCTATCTTTTGGGGTTATGGAATTAAAGAAAATACATTTTTAAATTGAACTTCTAGCTTCTGGCCTTTAAAAGATGAGGTCCTGAGGATGTGAAGTGGAATAGCTGAGTCAGGTTCAATGACCTTCTGTCAATGCAGACCTCTTAATGATTCAGCAGTTTGTACTTCAGACTTTTCATCTTCACTGTCAGAAATACTCTGCCTTGGCCGGGCATGGTGGCTCAAGCCTGTAATCCCAGCACTTTGGGAGGCCAAGGCAGGCGGATCACAAGGTCAAGAGATGGAGACCAGAAATACTCTGCCTTGGCCGGGTGTGGTGGCTCAGGTTTCTAATCCCAGCACTTTGGGAGGGCGAGACAGGTGGATTGCCTGAGGTCAGGAGTTCGAGACCAGCCTAGCCAACATGGCAAAACTCCATCCCTACTAAAAAGACAAAAATTAGCTGGGTGTGGTAGTGGGTGCCTGTAATCCCAGCTACTCGGGAGGCTGAGGCAGGAGAATTGCTTGAACCCTGGAGGTGGAGGTTGCAGTGAGCCGAGATCACGCCATTGCACTCCAGCCTGAGAGACAGAGCAAGACTCCATCTCAAAAAAAAAAAAATATTCTGCCTCAGTTTAGATTCCCAAGCATACTAAATGTGTTACATAGTTTATAAAAGCATTTTCCCCAACCTTTTGTTTGTTTTATTTTTTTCAATTAATTTAGAAAGTTTATTTTGCCAAGGTTGAGGACACGCACCAATGACGCAGCCTCAGGAGGTCCCAACGACGTGTGCCCACAATGGTCAGAGCGGTTTTATACATTTTAGGGAGACATGAGATATCAGTTGGCTTACTTAAGATGAATGTTGCCCCAGCCTTTTCTTATGAAAAATTTTAAACATGCAGAAAAAGTGAAGCATGGTGCAGTGAATACCCATAAACAGATTTTAAAAAAATAAAATAAAAGGGGCCAGGCACGGTGGCTCACGCCTGTAATCCCAGCACTTTGGGAGGCCGAGGCGGGTGGATCACGAGGTCAAGAGATGGAGACCATTCTGGTCAACATGGTGAAACCCCGTCTCTACTAAAAATACAAAAAATTAGCTGGGCATGGTGGCCCGTGCCTGTAATCCCAGCTACTCAGGAGGCTGAGGCAGGAGAATTGCCTGAACCCAGGAGGCAGAGGTTGCAGTGAGCCGAGATCGCGCCATTGCACTCCAGCCTAGGTAACAAGAGGGAAACTCCATCTCAAAAAAAAAATAATAAAATAAAATAAAAGGCATATCCTGCAGGGATAGAAGAAGCACAGCACAGGGAACCTGGGAGTCTGTGGCGGGCCTGTGCTTCACCGAGGCTGGTGTGTAATGGCATGATCACAGCTTGCTGTAGCCTCAAACTCCTGAGCTCAAGCCATCCTCCTGCCTCAGCCTCCTGAGTACCTCAGACTACAGGTGTGTGCCACCACTTCCAGATAATTTTTGTGTAGGGGGAGATGGGGTTCTCTCTATATTGCCCGGGCTGGTCCTAAACTCCTGAGCTCAAGCCATCCTTCCACCTCATCCTCCCAAAGTGTTGAGATTACAGGTGTGAGCCACTGTGCCTGTCCTAGGATACACTTTTTAGACATCATCCTCCTCCTTTCACTGCCTCTGGTGATGTGGCTGTGGTCGATGAGAGTGAGAATAAAAAAGCAACTGGAAGCTCTGTGTCTGGGTTGTGGTGCAAGGGCCTGGGGACCAGCTATCAACAAAAGAGGGTCTCCCAGATGGACACTTGTTTGGTGGAGTTACCTCCCCTTTCCTCCTTCCCTTCCTTCTTCCTGCCTGCCTGCCTGCTTGCCTTCTGCAAGTGTCTCTGGGTCATGCCCAGTACAGACCCTGGGAATTCACCCACGATGAAAATTCAGCATCCACTCCTTTGGAGCTCACAAACCTGTGATGACCTCTGTGAGGGCAGGCAGAGTCTGGGAACTGAATCCTCAGCCTGGGATCCGGAGGCCCTCTGGATTAATGCACATGAATCACATTCACAGGCAGCTACCATGGAAACCAGAGGCCAAATGATTGACTTATGAAGAGACCTGTACCTGGCAAGGCAGCCAGGCATTTCCTCTGTCAGCTCTCCTCTTCCTGACCCTGCAGCCAAAAGATCACCCATCAAAGGCTGCCCAGACCAAGTGTCCTCTTCTCTGCAGACCCAGGCTTGGTGAGGGTGGGAAGCTCAGGGCAGGCGTGTCTGGCTAATGACTGACACAAGTTGGCCACTGGGGCTCCATGTTTCGGCTGGTGTTGTGGAACAGGGCAGACCCACCCATTCTGCTGCCCAAGAAAGAAATCACACCAGGCGCGGCACAGAGACTTGTGAGAAAATCACCAGCGGGCAGGGACAGTGAATTGTCCAGGCTCATGTGGCCCACAAGGCCCCTCGGGGGAGCTGGTCCTGCCTTCCTCACCAGCCTCCTGTGGCTCCTGCCACTCGCCTCACCCCCACCACCACATGCACCTTCTTTCTGTTCCTCAGGTAGCAGGCTTGCTCCCACCTCAGAGGTCGCTTGCTGTCACTCTGCTTACAGCTCCTGGCCTGGCCAGCTGCTGCTTATCCTGTAGGTTCTTGCTTACATGGGTCATCTCTTCAGAGAGCCCCCTCCAGACCCCCCAGTCTAAGTGGCTTCCACCCCCCACCCCACCTTCTCATGTCACCTCAGTTGATTTCCTGTGTCACACTTGCTGTTGTCTGAATTTGCCTTCATCTCTTGGTATTGCTGCATCTACCGTTTGGGGTAGCAACACTGACTCTGGGCAGATAGCCGGGCCCAGAGTGACCGGCTTGTTAGCTGAGTGACCTTGGACAAGTTACTTCATCATCCTGTTGTCGTGCAGTTTTCTCCTCTGTCATTGGGGCAGTAGTAGCACTCTCACATACGGTCACTGTCTGGATTGTTGAGTCACCATGTGTGAAGTGCTTAGAATAGTGCCGGCCCTGGTAGGTTACTGTTATTAGCCTCCATGCCTGAAACATTTTAAATAATCAGCACATACCTGCTGGGGGTGAGAAGATCTTCACAGGGACTGTCAAGGAGGTCACTGGCCCAGTTGGGAGATGGCCTCAGTGTTTTTATCTGTTGTCCACACCACTCACCCCCAAAGTACACTGGGGTTGCTACTGGATTTTGACACTTTCTTAGATGTTACAAATCTGAGTACAGGCTGGGGTTGGTCACAGACAGCACTCCAAGGGCCTGGTGGCAAGGGGCAGAGCAGACGTCAGACACAGGAGCTCATGAGCCATTTGGCTCCAGCTGCTCTGATCCATGGGACTGGGCAGTGTATAATAAATATATCTAAGCAAAAATCTCCATCACCGGTAATCACTGATCAAAGTCAAGTCTCTGTGCTGACAGTAGGAAACCAGGCGCTTCCTAACAATTTAATTTAGAGTGGGCCTTTCACACTCTATCCAGAATATTGACAGCATATAAATGGGAAAAAGTACACTACTTTCTATAGTTCAGCTCTAGTGTGTAGTATTGCCTTCTGTTAAATATGGCCTTTGACTTTAATGCTTTAATATGTGGACCAAGTGACATGCACTACAGAATCTCCCCTTCCCTCTGTCTCTTACAGTTTTGCGTTTGGCTCCCTAATATCAGCTGTCGATCCAGTGGCCACTATTGCTATTTTCAATGCACTTCATGTGGACCCGGTGCTCAACATGCTGGTCTTTGGAGAAAGTATTCTTAACGATGCAGTCTCCATTGTCCTGACCAAGTAAGTATGAGTGCAGAGAACAGGCGTTCTTCATGTGACAGAACTAGAGGTCCTTGTAACAAAGGGGCAGATATTTCCATGCAGCATGTGTACAGTTGCTTGTCCTCTCGGTGATCAGTTCACCCAATATCTTTCTCTGTCTTTCTGTCCTGACAAGCCTTGATGTGCCGCCAGAATGTGGTCAAGGTCCAGGGGTGGTTAGTAGAGGAGGGTCCACCTTTTTTTTTTTTTTGAGACAGGGTCTCGCTCTGTCACCCATGGTGGAGTGCAGTGGCTCCATCACAGCTTACCACAGCTTCGACCTCCTGGATTCAAGTGATCGGTCCTCCCACCTCAGCCTCCCAAGTAGCTGGGACTTACAGGCATTTAAAAAAAAAAAATTTTTTTTTAAAGTTTTTTAGAGACAAGGTTTTGCCATGTTGCCCAAGCTGTTCTGGAACTCCTGGGCTCAAGCAGTTTGTCCACCTCAGCCTCTCAAAGTGCTGGGATTACAGGTGTGAGCCATTGTGCCTGGTTACACCCACCTTTTTTAACCTACCTTTTAGTGGTGGTTTTCCAGCCCAGCTTCTCAGCATCACTGAGGGTGCTGATTAAGTGTGACATTCCCAGGCCCCACCCTCAGAGCTTCTGAATCATCTGGTCTGGGGTGAGTCCCAAGACCATAGGTTTTTAATAAGTTCTCCAGACAGTGATGAAGCGGCCTGTTGAGGGGTGTTTGGGCAACATTGGAAACAAAAGCAATAGACAGAGGCCCCACTAGCTGTTGCATGTCACCTTCCTTTTCACAGCTTTAAAATAAGGTAGTAAAGCTGATAGCACCCGGCCTTAAGATGCTATTGTATAAATGCCACTTTGGAAACTGCAGTTAGTTTTCTTTTTTTGAGACGGAGTTTCGCTGTTGTTACCCAGACTGGAGTGCAATGGCATGATCTTGGCTCACTGCAACCTCCGCCTTCTGGGTTCAAGCAATTCTTCTGCCTCAGCCTCCTGAGTAGCTGGGACTACAGGCGTGCACCACCATGCCCAGCTAATTTTTTGTATTTTTAGTAGAGACGGGGTTTCACCTTGTTGACTAGGATGGTCTCGATCTCTTGACCTCGTGATCCACCCGCCTCGGCCTCCCAAGGTGCTGGGATTATAGGTGTGAGCCACCACGCCCAGCCAGTTTTCAAATATTTGTTGGCATTACTGCCCTAGTTGATGGGATCTGATAAAGATGAATAATAAAATGTCAAGAAGTCATTGGGGGCTGGGTGTGGTGGCTCACCCCTGTAATCCAGCACTTTGGGAGGCCGAGGTGGGTGGATCACCTTAGGTTAGGAGTTCAAGACCAGCCTGCCCAACATGGTGAAACTCCTTCTCTGCTAAAAATAATACCAACTACTCAGGAGGCTGGGGCAGGAGAATCGCTTGAACCCGGGAGGCAAAGGTTACAGTGAGCTGAGATCATACCACTGCACTCCAGCCTGGGCAACAGAGTAAGATTCCATCTTTAAAAAACAAAAGAAGAAGAAAAAGAAGTTATTGGAGGACTGGGCACAGTGGCTCACACTTGTAATGCCATCATTTTGGGAGGCTGAGGTGGGAAGATTTCTTGAGGCCAGGAGTTCGAGACCAGCCTGGGTAACATAGTGAGACTCAATCTGTACAAAAAATAAAAAAATTAGCTGGGTGCCGCTGGGCATGGTGGCTCATACCTGTAATCCCAGTACTTTGGGAGGCCGAGGCAGGCAGATCACAAGGTCAAGAGATGTAGACCATCCTGGCCAACATGGTGAAACCCTGTCTCTACTAAAAATACAAAAATTAGCTGGGTGTTTTGTGGCGAGCACCTGTAGTCCCAGCTACTTAGGAGGCTTGAACCCAGGAGGTGGAGGTTTGCAGTGAGCCAAGATCGCCCCACTGCACTCCAGCCTGGTGACAGAGCGAGACTCCATCTCAAAAAAAAAAAAAATTAGCTAGGTGTCATAGCATGTGCCTGTATTCCTAGCTACATGGGATGCAGTGAGCTATGATGGAGCCACTGCACTCCAACCTGGTCAACGGAGCGAGACCCTGTCTCAAAAACAAAACAAAAATTGGAAAGGAAATGCATTTAAGATAATCTCAAATATATTTTTCTGATGCAGGGATATTTCCTTGAACTCTGCATTTTATGGTGGTCATTAACATTTGGGCAAGAAACCCAAAGAATTTTGCCAAAACTGAGAAGGCACAGACAAAGTAGCTGAAGGACGCCAGGCATGGTGGCTTATGCTGTAATTCCAGCTACTCAGAAGGCTGAGGTGGGAGCACTTGAGCCCAGATGTTTGAGACCAGCCTGGACAACATAGCAAGACCTCATTCTCCCACTTCCCCCAAAAACTCCAAAACAATTGGACAAAGAGTCCTGGATAGTGTATCAAAGATGAGCTAAGAGAACGTTAGAGGTCAGTCTGTGTTCTGTTAGATAATAGAATTTTCATTTACCTGAATACTGACTGACTTCCTTTGCTAGAGCATAACCATTCTGTGGTAGTTGGCATTTTCTTAGAAGATTTTTTATAGACTATATTCAGAATTCTTATGTTGGAATAAAATGCCTCAGCCTAGGACTAGATTTGAGGACTGAATAGTTAAGATACTACAGGGCTGGGCTTGGTGGCTCACGCCTGTAATCCCAGCACTTTGGGAGGCTGAGGTGGGTGGATCACTTGTGGCCGGGAGTTCAAGACCAGCCTGGCCAACATGTGAAACCTTGTATCTACTAAAAATACAAAAATTAGCCAGCTGTGGTGGTACACGCCTATAATCCCAGCTACTTAAGAGGCAGAGGCAGGAGAATTGCTTGAACCTGGGAGGTGGAAGTTGTAATGAGCCAAGCTCACGCCACCCTGCACTCCAGCCTGGGCAACAGAGCAAAACTGTGTTAAAAAAAAACAAAAAAAGATAACTAGGGAAAAGCATCCAGCATCAGGTAATGTGATATCCTTTCCTCTTCTTTCCCTGCCCCAGTTATTGTTTTCATCATGTTTGCCCTGTTTTTGCCCTTCCTTTGCAGGAAGAGCTTACCAAGTACTGCCTAATCGCAAGAGGTGCTCAACAGGCCTTAAAAAAACCCAAACTTAAAAGTATTTTTGTTATTCTAAACGTAGTACATATATTCTTATAAAATTTAGTAAATACACAAGCAAAAAAGAGAAATATCACATACATTGCTACTACCACCTAGAGATAATTATAGTTAACAATTTGGTATAAATATACATACATTTTATTTAAATAGGCTTATACCCCACATATTGTATTCTATTTTCTATTGAACATAGTTGATAAAACAATCGTCTGTAACATCATTTTACTGGTTACAGAGTATTCCTTTTTTCTGGGTTGCTTATGATCTACTTAACCAATTTCCTACTATTGGCTTTTTCATGTTCTCTTGGCAGAAATTTCTATAGCTTTATTAGGATATTATCAAACAAGACCTTTAAAAAATCTGATGGCAATATTTTTTCTTACTTAAGATTTGCTCTGAAAGCCTGCTTAGCTTTCTGGTTTTATCTTATATCCTGGCTACACATATTGAACATTTGTGATAAGGAATTTTGCCCAACTTGGAGGTGACATCATGAGTTATTTTTATGCATTAGGAGCTAAGCTCAATTGCTTTGTTTCTGATTTTTTGAAAGAAAAATAATTTTTCAGAGGTAGGATATTTTCTAAGCTTTTCCAGTTCTGTTATAAAAGCCAAAGATTGGGAGACTTTTCTATTTAAGATGAGAAATGATGGCATCATTGTCAGTAAGAAGAAGTTCTTACTGGAAAAGTGCTTTGGAAACCCAAGATCGGGTCAGGCACGGTGACTCATGCCTGTAATCCCAGCACTTTGGGAGGCCGAGGTGGGCAGATCACCTGAGGTCAGGAGTTTGAGACCAGCCTGGCCAACATAGTGAAACCCCATCTCTACTAAAAATACAAAAATTAGCTAGGTGTGTTGGCAGGTCCCTGTAATATCCCAGCTACTTGGGAGGCTGATGCAGGAGAATCGCTTGAACCTGGGAGGCAGAAGTTGCAGTGAGTCGAGATCATACCACTACACCCCAGCCTGGGCAACAGAGCAAGACTCTCTCAAAAAAAAAAAAAAAAAAAAAAGAAAAAGAAAAACCCAAGATTGCCTGTGATAACAGTTCCCACAGTTGGATCTGTGGACCACGCATGTGTAGTTTCCAGCTGCCTCCTCCACCAGCAGCACTGCCACTGCTGAGACCCAAGCTGGCTTGAGAATCAGCCTCATGAATTCTCCAGCCACGGCTGGTCATCTGACATCAGCATTTGGTGAGGGACCTCTATGTGCCAGACACTGCTGACAGCCAGGTAGATTTGACGAACTCGGTCTGTGATAGGCAAAAGATGCCCATAGAGAAGTGAACATGGTGTCTTAAGCACTAGGGGGCTCCATGACCAGACAAAGGATATGAGGAAGGCTTCTCAGAAGGAATGTCTTGTGAGCCAGCCCTGGGAGGCTCATTTTCAGACAGAAGAGAAAGAAAAGGGGCATGTCAGACTACTCGCCCGCCTTTTTTTCTTTTTGGTAGTACAAAAGAAAAATGAGCTCCTGGGAATTGCTGTCACCTTTCCTTGGTTATCAGTTAGAATCACATCTGGTTTTGAAGAGGTATACTTCACAAACGATCATCTCCAAAGCAAGCTGACACATTTATCTTTGCGCTTGAATATGCAAATAAATTACCCCTTTTTTAATGTTGCTACCTTCACGAGTGCCAGAAAGCAAATGTCCTGTTTCTTCAGTAACTTGAATTAAGTCATTTTCAGCTTTGAATTGTTGCTATGACAGTGTATTTACAGTCACTGATATAGAGGGGAAACCTTTTGTTTTCTCCAGCTACAGCTTAGGCTCATTAAATGGACCCTGAAGCAATACTCACTTTTATTCTTTAAGGTATGAGAAACATGACCTTAAGAAACAAAATTAGAAAAGTACCAGGCCAGAGAGAGTCCAGATTCGACTTAAATTACCTGGGGTTCACAAACCAGTGGCCCAGCCCTGGATCTGCTGTTAACCCTTTGTGTGACCTTACCCAGTGACTCACTCTCTCTGGGCCTCAGGCTTCTCTGTATAAAAAGAAAGCAGTGAAACCAGCCTGGGCGCCCGCTGTGGTAGTGATGTGGGTTGAGGCTGGACACTGTGTATGTATGGCCTGCAGGCCCATTTTTGGGAACTGTGGGTGATCATGGCCTTCAAAAGCACTTTTCCGAGATGAGCCCTTGTTGGCTGCGACATTCCTCAAGGTGAGATGTTTACCTGTGATCTGCTAGAAAGAAGGGGAATTGGGGAGATTGTGTGTTCAGGTGAGTCCAGAAAGCTTTCATGTGAAGAAAGTTAGTTTTTGCAAGACTCCTCAGAACGTTTATTATGTTATTTTGTGCTGTGAATCTCCTTGAAAGGCTTCCTGAGGTTGTTTGACCAAGCTACCTCTTCATCTTATTCTGCTTTAAAATTATACCAATCCTGGGGCCTGGCATGGTGGTTCACATCTGTAATCCCAGCACTTTGGGAGGCCAAGGCAGGTGGATCATTTGAGGTTAGGAGTTCTATACCAGCGTGGTCAACATGATGAAATACTGTCTTTACTAAAAATACAAAAAAATTAGCCTGGTGTGGTGGTACGCATCTGTAATCCTGCTACTTGGGAGGCTGACGCAGGAGAATTGCTTGAAGCCCGGAGGCAGGGGTTGCAGTGAGCCAAGATCACGCCACTGCACTCCAGCCTGGGCAACAGAGTGAGACTCCATCTCAAAAATAAATAAAGTGATACCAATTCATGACATGGTGATTAATGAAGCTGAATATTACTGTTGACTATTCTTTGTTTCATTTACTGAGTCAATAAAAAGGTATCGACTGTCTTTTGTGTTCGAGGCTCTGCTTTAAGCCCTGGACATAAGGCAGCAAACAAGATGGACACAGGCTTCATCGTTATGGAATGAGGCACTACAGTTTCGCAGGCTGTGAAGGAGAAGTCAGGCACCATGACTTCTCCTGAGGGATGAATAGGGAGTTAGTTGGGGCAGGGAAAGGTGAATAGTGTCTACCTGGGAGGTGCCAGTGACAGTGTGGCCCAGGTGTTTAGATTTGGGGAGGAGGAGGTAAGGTCAGAGGGGTATGGCAGGTGGGAGCCAGATCAAACTAAAACTGGGCTTCCTGGTGACATGGGGAAACTGAGTTCTAAACAGGCTGGTAACCTGATCAGGTGTGCCCCTGAAAAGGATCAGTTAGGGCCTATAATTCTAGCACTTTGGGAGGTTGTGGCCGGTGGATCACTTGAGCCCAGGAGTTCAAGACCAGCCTTGAACCCCATCTCTACATAAAATATAAAAACTAGCTGGCTGTGGTGATGTGTGCCTGTGGTCTCAGTTACTCTGGGGCTGAGGTGGGAGGATCACTTGAGGCAAAGGTTGCAGTGAGCTGAGATCACACCCACTGCACTTCAGCATGGATGACAGAGTGAGACCCTGTCTCATAGAAGGGGAGCGGGGGGATCATTTAGGCCATTGAGCTGAGAACAGGGTTGGTCTGTAGGAAGGCAAGGATGTCTAGAGAGAGATAGTGAGGCTTATTCCTGGGAGTAAAGGGTAGTAGGGGATGGATATTTAATGAGAATAATTCCATGTTAATGGTGTAATAGTTTTCTTTGAGGACAAGACCAACAATTGGATTTAATAACATCTGACATTTTCCTTCAGTCTGTTACAGTGAAAGGAAAGTTCCTTCATTTCTTCCTCCCTTATGCCTCCTAAATCCTCCTCTCAGCCTGAAACCTTGGACATTTCTTTTCTGGGTAGCTCCATTCTAATCTAACTTCTTGCCAAAGCCTCAATTTTAGGTTTTATCACAGGATTTCTGTCTGTACTGAAATCCTTCCTATTGACTCCCCGGCCTTCAGGCTGAAATACCAATGCCTTCCCCAGGCCCTGTTCCTCTGCCGCTGCTCTCACCTTGCCTCCTGCCACTGTACTTCCCGCCTCCGCCCCCACCCCCGCCCCCGTTTTAGCTGCACTAAACTCGTACTGGAAAGTTCCCACAATGGGCTGCATATGCATGGGCTCCCTTCCTTTGCACGTGCCGTTTCCTCAGTGCGTGCCTTCTCGCATTTCTTCACCTGAGCAAGTCGTCTTTATCCCGAATCTAAACCCAGCCTCCCCCTTTTTTGGAGGACAGAGTCGCTCTGTTGCCCAGGCTGGAGTATAGGTGCGATCTCTGTTCACTGCAGCCTTCATCTCACAGGTTCAAGTGATTCTTCTGCCTCAGCCTCCTGAGTAGCTGGGATTACAGGCATGCGACACAACACCTGGTTAATTTTTGTATTTTTAGTAGAGACGGTTTCACCATGTTGGCCAGGCCAACATCTAAACTCCTGGCCTCAAGTGATCCACCCACCTCAGCCTCCCAAAGCGCTGAGATTACAGGTGTGAGCCACTGTACCTGGCATCAGCCCACATTTTCTCAAGCACCTTCCTTGAGCTTGGCCAGTCTGAATTAGGTACCTACCCATCCTTCTTTCTACAGCCTTCTACTCTTCCTGCAGATTGTTATTAGTGCTCGTCGTGTTTTTCTCCCTCATTAGCTTGGGGGGAGGAGCTCCTTAAGGACAGCAATTTTGTTCTCATCTCTGAACCCCAGAAAATAACACAGCCCCTGGGACAAAGTAGGTGAACAATAAATGGCTAACTGAATAAATGATGGTATGGTTTAATGAATAAGGGAATAAGCAAGAAATAAGTTTTAAGTTAATTTCTAAGAACTTTTTGTATATAACATTTTAACTTTCTGTTTTCTTTCATTTCCTAGCACAGCTGAAGGTTTAACGAGAAAAAATATGTCAGATGTCAGTGGGTGGCAAACATTTTTACAAGCCCTTGACTACTTCCTCAAAATGTTCTTTGGCTCTGCAGCGCTCGGCACTCTCACTGGCTTAATTTCTGCATTAATATCCTTTTAATGTGATGAACATGCAGGGCTGAGATTATTCTTGATTATTCTATCTCTAGCCAGTTTCTCCTGTTTTTTAAGGGGGTCAATGTTAGATGAAGGTTTTGCTTAAAGGAGGATTTTTTGCTTCGTTTTGTTTGAGAAACACTCTAACTCAAGGATTTTTAAATTTAACATGTGAAATTTGGGATATCACTTTTCAAAGTTTAAAAAACATGTACACTGTTGGATATCAGATGTGATTTTGGGGGACCTCTCGGTTCCCAGAGTATGATAGCCACACTTAGATGATTTTCATTTTCTGCCATCTCACTTCTCACATTTGGAAAATTGGAAATTAATTTTCTTTGAAAGTGTCAAATAGACCAGATACAGTGGCTCACAGCTGTAATCCAGCACTTTTAGAGGCCAAGGCCAGGGGATTGCGTTTGCCAAGGGATTCAAGACCAGCCTGAGCAATATAGTGAGACCTCATCTCTAAAAAATAAATAAAAATAAAATGTCAAATAGGGAAAATTCTTTATCCCACTGAAAGTGTTTATCCATAAGGACTGGAAAGGGGGCTCTCGAAGTGTGTTCCATGGAGTTATTTGCACTGATTTTGTTGTTTAACAACCAATACACTTTTCCAGCTGGAGCAGGAAAGAGACTTGTTAAGGTCAATGACACCTTTATTGCTGTAGAAATTTCGTTATGTTTAAAATAGAATAGAAACAGGCAGTAGACCACTTGGGGGCGCGCCTAAGCCTACATCTCAGGGAGATGGCCACCTGCCCCTCCTCCATGAGCAGTTTGTTTCACAGATGGCCGGAAGAGACTCTTATGCCTGTAACAGGCATGTTTTTCTGCCATCCTGTTGAATTTTCCCATCAGCTCCTTTGTCCAGAAGTCTAAAGGCTCTATTGAGTTGGCTAACAGCTTCTCATATTGTACCAATAAACAGAATGGAACAGAAAACTTTTTCCAGTTAAGTGTTTTCCTCCATATTTATCTTTTTCTTTAAAAAAAAAAAAAAAGTATCTATCAAAATGAAGTGTCGCAGATGGGTACTGTAAGCACCAGTATAGGCATTATTAACAATATTTGAATATATAGAAGACTCTCTCCTTTCACAGGGGCATGAGTTTGGAAATCTCCAGGAACAGGAAAGACTGTTTGAACAGGGCCTTGAACCCCAGTTTGAACAGCGATTCACACTAGTTGTCTTTGACTGAAAACTGATGGGGAAAGTGAGATGGGTAGTGTTAGTGATCTCATCTAATGTTGTTGGAAGAGTGGGGGTGATGTGGCCCTGGGAGGAACCTGGCCGAGTGAGCTATCCTTGGCGCGTCTGCAGTGCCAGCTTCACCCCATGGCCTGGCACATCCTCAGCCCTCTAAGTCAGCGTTTTTAAATGAGTTGACTTAGGTCGATTTTCCTTTTCTGCCACCATTTATCTCCAGAATTAGTGTTTTGTCAGATTCCGTTTCTTACAGTAACAGTCTACAAAGGAAAAAATCCATAATGACAAATTTTCAGTTGTAACCTTGGGATGTTCCAAAATCTTCTGTATCCGTTGTTTACTTCATGCATTTGGAAAGTAGCAGTTTTGTGACTTCTCCACATCTCCCATAATTCTCCCTCGATTCTTCTTCCTTGACAGTTGTCTGTCATTTACGTGCTGAAGCATATTGACTTGAGGAAAACGCCTTCTTTGGAATTTGGCATGATGATCATTTTTGCTTATCTGCCTTATGGGCTTGCAGAAGGAATCTCACTCTCAGGTAAGTGACAGAGACTTTGAAAGTGCTATGATGATGGCACCTTGTCTTGTCCTGCCTGGTAAAAGAGGCTTTGTCAGTTGTCACTTTCAGTCACAAGAGACAGTCACAACTCAGAAGAGCTTAAGTAATAAAGGGAATCTACTGGCTCCCTAGAAACACATCTGGGCTGGATGCAGTGGCTCACGCCTGTAATCCCAGCGCTTTGGGAGGCCAAGGTGGGCAAATCATGAGGTCAGGAGATCAAGACCATTCTGGCCAACATGGTAAAACCCTGTCTCTACTAAAGGTACAAAAATTAGCTGGGCGTGGTGGCAGGTGCCTGTAATCCCAGCTACTCAGGAGGCTGAGGCAGGAGAATTGCTTGAACCTGGGAGGCGGAGGTTGTAGTGAGAGCCAAGATCACACCACTGCACTCCAGCCTGGGCAACAGAGCAAGACTCCATTAAAAATAAATAAATAAAAAACTAAAACAAAAAACACAAAACCACATTTGGCTTTAGGCCTGCCTGGATCCAGGGGCTCAAACAGTCACATTGGTGTCACAGTCACATTTTCTCTTAACCTGCCTTCTCTCATTTAGCCCATCAGTCCTATGAGGCTCCCTCAGAGGAGGGTAGCCTGTGGGAGGGAGGTACTGTGAAGGTCCTTATTTTACTGATGAGAAAACTGAGATTGAATGAGATTAAATACATTACCCAAGGTCACAGCTGGGATTGGTGGAATAATAATTTAAACTAGTTGTCTTTGAGTCAAGAACAAATGCTTAGAACCCTCCTCTAATACAATTTTCTCCAAAACAACTCATCATAAACCATGTACTCAGTGCTACCTAGAGGAAAAAGCAAAGTGTGGTGGCGGCATAATGTTGGAGTAGCAGTTTATTGGACATAGCAGTTTTGTGACTTTTTTAATGCCATATTCGGGATTTTTATGCTGCTACCACCCCTGTGGAGTAGGTACTAGGAGATTGTCATTAGCCCAGAGTTGCACTGCACAGGCAGTGGTGGCAGTGAGATTGAAACCCAGACAATGGAGACCCATAGACTTTTCCCTGCACCCAGCAGAGATGACTCTGATGCGGCCCTAGAAGATGATGCTCACCAGCTGGCGGGGGGTAACCGCTCACAGAGTAAGGGTCTCTGAGCAGTCACCTTGTAGTCAATCAGCAGCCCCTGTTTGCAAGGCTTGGCTTAGTTGGGCTTTCTGCCCACAAGTGGCAATCAAGCTTGTGTCTGCAGTTAGTTACATTGTAAGGATGTTGACCTGAAAATGGAGTATGACTCACCCCTGTTCCTGTGTGAGGGGGCAGCCAGGTGGGAAGGGCTCTGCCCTGAAAGTCTGACCCCATCCTTTGAGTGAAGGCCCTTCAGAGCCCTTGTTCTGGAAAGGAGGCACTATTGCAGGGCTGTTTTGATCTGTGCCACAGGATGGCGGAGATTTTCTTTTCTATTAACTTTGTTGAGGTATAATTTACACATAATACATGGACCTGTTCTAAGTATACAGTTCCATGAATTTCGGAAAAATTGCAGGCGTAACTACCCCCACAGTCGAGGTATGCATATTCTGATCGCCCAGCATGGCTCTCCTGTGCCCTTCTGCAGTCCCCCGCCTGTCCTGACTCCTGGCACCCACTGATCTTCGCTGTCACTATAGTTTTGCCTGTTCCAGAGTGTCATTTAAGTGAAAGCATGTGGTCTTGTGTCTCCTCTCTTTGAGTTACCATAATGTTTTTGAGAGACACCCATGTTTTTGCATGTCAGTAGTTGATCATTCTTATTGCCCCACAGTAAGAATGTTTATTATCTGTTCACTATTTGAAGGACATTTGGGGTTTTCCAGATTTGGGCTAAGAACACTGTGCATATGTTTTCATTTGTCTTGGGTAAATACCTAAGATTAAAGCTGCTAGGTCATATGGTAAGTACATTTTTACTTTTTTAGAAACTGCCTAGTGTTTTTGAAGTGACTGTATCATTTTACATTCCTGTCAGAATGTGTGAGAGAGTGCCAGTTGCTTCATATTGTCACCATACTTATTTTAATTTTAAAAAGTTCAGCTCTCCTGATAGGCGTGTAGCAACGGGATTTAGATGTGCCTTGGTGTGGTTCTTTTTATATTCCACTTCGGTTCATTGAGCTTCTTGGGTTTATAGTCTATATGACGTTATAGCTTTCATCAAATTTGGTAAGCTTTTGCCCATTTCTTAACATTTTTTTGTTCCCCCTTCCCCTTCCCCTTGAGACTTCAATTTACTCCAATTATGAGAGGTAGCATGTTATTGGCCCACAATATGCTTTGCCCTTTTTTTCTGTCTTTTTTTCCCTATGTGCTTTATTTTTGTTATTTTCTGTTGCTGTGTTTTCAAGGTCACTGATCTTTCCTTCTGCCATGTGGAATCTCTTCTAATCCTACCCAGTGTATTTCTCATTTGCATATTCTATAATTCATTGATGGAAGATCCCCTTTGGGTTATTTTCACTTCTTCCATTTCTCTCTTCAGCATGTTCATGTTTTCTTCTATATTCTGGAGCTTATGAAACATATTTATAATAGCTGTCTTAACGTCCTTGTTTGCCAATTCCATCATCTCTGTCAATTCTAGGTCTGTTTTGTTGTTGATTTTTCTTGTGTTTATAGGTCACATTTTCTTGCTCTTTGCTTGCTATTAAGTTTTGATTGGATGTCGGTCATTGTGAACTTTATGTTGTTGAGTACAAGATTTTATTGTGTTTCTTTATGGAGTTCCAGACTCTTCTTTTTTTAAAAAAAATATAGGCTGGGCATGGTGGCTCATGCCTATAATCCCAGCACTTGGGAGGCTGAGGCGGGCAGATCACCTTAGGTCGGGAGTTTGAGACCAGCCTGACCAACATGGAGAAACTCTGTCTCTACTAAAAATACAAAATTAGCTGTATTTGGTGGTGCATGCCTGTAATCTCAGCTACTCGGGAGGCTGAGGCAGGAGAATTGCTTGAACCCGGGAGGCAGAGGTGGTGATGAGCTGAGATCGCGCCATTGCACTCCAGCCTGAGCAATAAGAGCGAAACTCCATCTCAAAATAATAGTAAATAATATATATATATTTTTGTTTCCTGTGTGTTATTTCTGGGCTTTTCTTGTGGCATATATTTAAGTCTCTTGACATCAATGTAATCCTTTTTGAGGCTTACATTTAAACTTTTTTAGGGCAGGTGCAGAGTAGCAGGGCCCTAACTAAGGTGTCTCAGGTATTGTGAGCTCACTCCACTCTGGCTGGTGGGAACATAAACTATTCCCAGCCCCGCGTCAGCTTCTGGGATTCATCAGCCTACTTCTTTTTCATGGTCTTTGCCCAGGCTCTTGTTTCTTCCCACATACTTACTGATCAGTATGAGTCAAAGACTCAAGGGGACTTTACAATAGATGTCCAAGCGCTCTCTTTCTGTGCAGCTTCCCCCACCCAACATGACAGCCCCCCAGAGCCTCAGCCTCAGGCAGTCAGCTCAGCCAGGGGGTCTGGAGAAAGAGTGGCCACCTTGTTTGTTTCCCTTATGGCCAGAATCACAGCCATACCCTATCTTTTGTCCCATGTCAGAAAATAGTTTTGTTTTGCATCTTGTATCAGGTTTTGTAGATATGTAGAGGAGGACAGTGTTCTGTGTAGCAGTAATTTCTTCAGACACAAAGCGAAAGGCCCAGTGATCTTTAGTGACTCCATTGACAGAATTCTCCTGCCCACAGTCACTTGCTGGAGTCACACGTGGGTGCTGCGTGAGCAGCATAAGGAGGAAGCAGAGTGGACTCGCCATTTTCAGGATTTTGTTTTTCATCACAAACCAGTTCACCAGGATAATTCCATCCTGGTATCTGCCTGAGGTTCCCTTTCTTTACTGAATGTTTGCACTTACAAAAACATTACTTGTGAGTCATTTGGCTCTAGCCTAGCTATTTTTACATCTGTTTTTCTAAATTGTTCCTCTACCCCCTTGAGATGATCATTGAGTACCTGCTGGCAAAGATGTGTTTCATGCATCTGTTTGGAATCTGTGATTAAAACAAAGGAGTGTTTTTCTTACCTTCTTTTCAGAGTGGCAGTGTTTCCTGTTGATAGGGGTGTCATTTCCTTAGGGACCTTGCTCCACACAGAGCAGTGCAAGCCAGGAACACCAGATCTGCCTCTGGGTAAGGACCCTGCTCTGTCTGTGCTTTGCCTTTTGGGTGTTTGCCACGCCGAGAGGGGCAGGATGGCCCTGTGTGGTGTGTGGACCCTCACACTGTACTATGAAAGCACAGGTGGAAAGGATGGTGTTTTTGCTGTCTTCTGCTTCCTTTTTGTGCTCCCCTTTTCCTATCACAAAGGACTGATCTCAGGTGGTTCCCAAGACCACAAAGCAGGAATTCTCCTCCTAGGAAGTGGGAATTATTTACCTAAATCCACATGTAGGGAACACAGTTGTTAAGGACTGGGCTGGAAACCAGACAGACTTGGATTTGAACCCCAGCTCCACCTCTCATTGGCTGTGTAACTTCAGACAACAGACTTAACCACCCCGTGCTCTACTTCCTCATCATAAAATAGACAAATAAAAGGGCCAGCCTAATGACTTGGCCGAGAATGAATGAAAGTGATGCAAGTGACAGTCCTGACGGGGCATCTGTGCTACTGCTGGGGTGGCTATAAGTCCTGGTTTGCTCTGAGACCCCCAGTTTTGCTGTTGTCTCAATATAATGAATGAATAATGTCCCCTTTTATTCTAAAAAATGTCCTGGTGGCCACAGCAAATCAAATAGTCTCCCTAATTATTACTCAGCAAGCGTTAGCTATTCTCAGAATATTCGTTCTAATTGTATCCATGTTAACTATTTTTATTGTTCAATCAAGCCAGTTTTGAGGGCCACTTTGGCCTCTGACACTAAAGATTCAGAGATGAATAGACCCCACTTAGGCAGAGCAGTTAGCAAACACTGGGCTTACAGGGGATGGGCTTACAGTGACACTGTCAAGGTGAGTCAGAGGAGGGGACTTTGGGCATGAAGGATGAATTTGCAAGATTAATCATGACATAACGCTTTCTTAAGATATTGACATGAAGTTGGCCAAAGATGGAATGTACACTGCAATGCTCTTATGCATTGATATCTAAGGAATTCCATTGCAGCACTGCTTGGGAGAGAAAAATTGGAAGGAACTAAATGTTCATCAGTAATGGAAAAGATTAAATTCTAGTCCATTTGCACTTTGGAGTCCTGTACAGTCACTTCAGAAATGAACTTGACCTGTTTGTACTACCCATGGAAAGAATTCGACATAGTGTTAAATTTTTTTAAAGTAAGTTGAAAATTCAATTTCTTTCTTTTTTTTTTTTTTTTTGAGACAGAGTCTTGTTTTGTCGCCAGGCGCCAGGCTGGAGTGCAGTGGCGCAATCTCAGCTCACTGCAATCTCCACCTCCCAGGTTCAAACAATTCTCTTGCCTCAGCCTCCTGAGTAGTTGGGACTACAGGCGCGTGCCACCACACCCAGCTAATTTTTGTATTTTTTAGTAAAGATGGGGTTTCACCATGTTGGCCAGGATGGTTTCAATCTCTTGACCTCATGATCTGCCTGCCTCGGCCTCCTGAAGTGCTGGGATTACAGGCGTGAGCCACTGCACACGGCTAAAAAATCAATTTCTTACCCATTCAAGAAATATTTATTAAATGCCCACCCTATGCTGAGAACTATCCTTGCTACTGGGGCTACAGTAATAAACAATACAAGATCAGGTTCCTTTTCCTGCAGAAGAAAGTCAGCCAGAATGTAAGTAAATCCATACAATTCCAGGTGGGCCGAGTACGGTGGCTCACGCCTATAATCCCAGCACTTTAGGAGGCCGAGGCGGGCGGATGACGAGGTCAAGAGATCGAGACCGTCCTGGCCATGGTGAAACCCCGTCTCTACTGAAAATACAAAAATTAGTCGGGCGTGGTGGCATGCGCCTGTGGTCCCAGCTACTTGGAAGGCTAAGGCAAAAGAATCGCTTGAACCCAGGTGGAGGTTGCAGTGAGCTGAGATTGTGCCACTCCAGCCTGGCGACAGAGTAAGACTCCGTCTCAAAAAAAAAAAAAAAAATGCCAGGTGGCAAGAAATGACAAGAAGAGAAATGAAATCCATGTGGCAGAGAGGGGCATCGGTAGAGGATGTACTGGGGCTCAGGCAGCCAGGGAGGTCTCTCCTGGAGGTGGCCCTGGAGCCTAGACCTGTGTGGTGACAGGAGCCAGCTCAGAGATGCTCTAGGGAAGGAGGTTCTGGCAGCAGGAACTGCAGGAGCCAAGGGTCTAAAGATAGATGTGTAGGAGTGTGGCATGCTCCGGGAAAAGAAGGAAGACCAGTGTGGCCAGAACAGAGCAGGCAAGGACACTGCCTTGCAGGCTCAGTAGGCCTGGGCAGGAGCTGGGGTTCTGTTAGATGTACCATGACAAGAGAGTTGGAAGCCCTTGAAAAAAATCACTCTGCTGGTAATAGGCACCATATGTGTGATAGGATCCTGTTTATTACTTTAATTATATTTTAATTTTATTTTTTGAGGCAGGATCATACTCTGTTGCCCAGGCTGGAGTGCAGTGGCATAATCACAACTCACTGCAGCCTTGACCTCTCCAGGCTTAGGTGATCCTTCCATCTTAGCCTCCTGAGTTGCTGGCACTACAGGCACGTGCCACCACACTGACTAGTTTTGTTTGTTTTTTTTTCATAAAGATACATATAATTTATTCTATCTTATTTAAATAAAAACTCATTTAAGAAAATAGTATTCTATATATGAAAGGCCAGGTACCATTGTTGAGATGGCATGAAATAGAAACTAAAGTAAGGATTGGGATGTGTGTGTGTGTGTGTGTGTGTGTGTTTGTGTGTATACTCGGAATTAGTATATCTTGGCAGCTTGATGACTTTTTAAAACAATCTCAGCCTCCTTACATGAAATAGAGACCCCTTTTCTGCTACCTACACAGGGAGATACTGAGAAGAAACCTGAGTGCCCCAGGAGTGACTGAGGGCAGCGGACAAATGTTGAGGCTCCAATCCTGTGTAAACACCGAATGCTGGAGATGCTGTCATGCAGGGCTTTGAAGAAAAGACGCATTACTTTTTAAATAACAGTAGTGCATGATTATGGGAAAATTCACTGTTAAGGAAATGTATTTTAAAAGTCCATCAAAATCCAAACATTTGGCCGGGTGCAGTGACTCACACCTGTAATACCAGCACTTTAGGAGGCTGAGGCGGGTCGATTGCCTGAGCTCAGGAGTTTGAGACTAGCCTGGGCAGCATAGTAAACCTCATCTCTACAAAAATACAGAAAATTAGCCAGCTGTGTTGGTGTGTGCCTGTGATCCCAACTATTTGGGAGGCTGGGGTGGGAGGATTGCTTGAGCCCAGGAGGTGGAGGTTGCAATGAGCTGAGATCACGCCATTATATTCCAGCCTGGGTGATGGAATGAAACCCTGTCTCAAAAAAAAAAAAATCCACATAGTCTCCATACACAGATTCTTAGACTTCTTTTCTGCCCCCAAGAATGGTTCGCTTGCCCCTCTTATACAGTCCTCCCTCAGCATCCATGGAGGATCAGCTCTAGGACACCCCACAGACAGAAAACTCATAAGTGCTCAAGTCCCATATATAAAATGATGCAGTTGGCCAGCATGGTGGCTCACCCCTATAATACCAGCACTTTGGGAGGGCGAGGCAGGCGGATCGATCACCTGAGGTCAGGAGTTTGAGACCAGCATGGCCAACATGGTGAAACCTCGTCTCTACTAAAAATACAGAAAATTAGCCAGGTGTGCCTGTAGTAGTCCCAACTCCTCAGGAGGCTAAGGCAGGAGAATTGCATGAACCTGGGAGGCAGAGGTTGCAGTGAGTCAAGATCACACTATTGCACTCCAGGCTGGTCAACGAGGGCAAAACTCTGTTTCAAAAAAAAAAAAAGATGCACTACAGTGGGCCCTCCATACTCACAGGTTCCACGTCTGCCAATCCTATCCCTGGATGTCAGTGTTAATCCACACCTCTTTAGCTCTGGTACTGTGAAAGGGACTTTACATGGCTTCTTTTCGCTCACCCGCCTAACAGTTCTGTGAGTGGGTACTATTAGTCTCACTGTACGGAAGAGAAAACAGGCTCTGATGGGGGACATGATGTGGCTCAAGATCACCCAGCTAGTAATGAGACTGCCAGAGAAAAGGGGCCCATGGTGTTTTTTCTGAATCCTCTGGGACGCCTCAGGTATTCATTTATGTTCCTTTTTCTTTTTTTTTTAATTGTAATTTAGGCTTATATTTTTTCTTAAAATGCCTAAAGCTCTAGGCCCCAGGGATTTGCAGGAATTGTGAGATCTGAGTTGGGGATCACATGGCAGGTGCTTTTCTGTTCTGTTCTCTTCCTCTCTAGGCATCATGGCCATCCTGTTCTCAGGCATCGTGATGTCCCACTACACGCACCATAACCTCTCCCCAGTCACCCAGATCCTCATGCAGCAGACCCTCCGCACTGTGGCCTTCTTGTGTGGTGAGTTCTGCCTCTGTGTGGCCGTGTGCAGGCCTACCCGGAGCTGATCTTTCTTCCTTACCTTGTTTTAGAAGTCAGCTGAGACTTCCCCTGGTAGTAGGGCTTCAGTTCCTCAGGGCCAGATCCCATACTCCCTATCTTTTGTTTGTTCCTCCGGCTCTGAAATTTCATAAAGTAAACCAAACACCTAATACATGGCCATCTGGTGCCTACAATTTAAAGACCAAAAATAGAACTTATTATGAACATTTGAGACATATTTTTTAATGTATTAACGTGACATTTACAAAAATGTATTCTTTGGAAATAATATTAATGATGGTTAGATGAAAATGACTCCATAGTCAAGCAAGGCATGGGGCTCATACCTGTAATCCCAGCTGCTTAGGAGGCTGAGGTGAGAGGATCACTTGAGCCCACAAGTTCAAGGCTGCATTGGACTATGATCTTTAAAAAAAGAAGAAAAAGAAGAAGAAAGAAAGAGAAAAAATGATAAAGCTTTTGTAGTCAAACAAGAGTTTAGGAAATTCTGTGTTAAATAAAATTTAACATTTATGAATTGCCAGGCTTTTCAGCAAATGGGCATTGTAAAATTCTTAACAGGGGATATGGTTACAGCATTTGCCAAACTTGTCCACAGAATCCTTTGTTCACAAGAGCAGCATGAGGTACATCACTCAGGGACAGTCTGCAGCAGAGGTGTCATTTGTTGGGCTGGGATAAGCCATGATGGCTTTTTCTTGATCTTAGCCAACAGGCTGAGAAGCTCACTATGGCTTTTTCTTTAAGCAGTTTGAGCTCTTGTTCCCCCCAAGCTCAGACACACCCATGTATGTCCCCCACAACTTTATACTTGGAAGTGGTTGGAGTTGGGGAACAACCCTCACCATGTCCCTTTAAGCTGCCCCAAGTAGCTGTGCCCTAGCTGTCATCATCAAAATCACCCCTGACGTTTTTTGGGCGGGGGAGGGGCGGGGCCTTGTCTCATTTTTAATTGCCACTTCCACACTGTTAGCATGCTAGGAGGCAGGAGCAGGCCAGGCAGAGACTTCGGCAGATAAGGAGGCTCAGGTGAGAAGTGGTCAGATGACCTGCCCATGGTCTCAAGGCCAAGAAGTGGGTATGCAAGCCACATCTCTTTATTCCTGGCCAGTGGGTATTATTTGTACAGCACCTCTCTTAGAAAGCCAGGGCTACAGATGCTGACCCTGACCCTCCCAATTAAAGAAACATAAAGCAAAACATCCATCCAAAAAGATTCTATTTTGTACCATCAGATTGGCAAATGTTAAGTTTGATAATACCCACTTCTGGCCTTGGTGTGTGGGACACAGGCCTAGTGGATGGGACACTGATGCCATCTTTTCCGGAGAGTCATTTGCCACGTCTGTCTGAATTTGAAAGGCATGTGCTCTTTGGCCCAGCAGTTCAACCATGTGGTATTTAGTCTGTGTACTGGGGTGTTTGTTGACTCTCTCAGAAATAGAAACAGTCTAAATATCCATTCATAGAGGACTGGTCATTAGAAAAATTGTCAAATTTTGGCAGTTTATCAAATTTGACAGAAAAACTGTCAAATACTTCTGCAAATAAACACTGTCCCGCCCAGGGAAGATGAAAAACACGAGTCTGTCCATTTGCTGAATGCTGTCATTAGCAAGGGTCCCAACTATGGCAAATTGGCAAAAATTCAGGGCAAACGACTGCAGATGCTACAGGACAAATGTGAAGGGTCTTTGGTTAATCATGATGTATCCAGGTCCTGGAGTTGATGCTGCCAGGGAAGAGCATTCACTAGATCTGAATGTCTTCTAAATGTGCTCATTTGGAAAGATCACGTGAATATGAGATAAGAAAAACGTTTCAAAGAGAAGGGTGATTAAACTGTCTAGCTTGTGGACTTGTTTTAAACTTGGGCACCATTCAAAGGAAAAACATCGCTGGAATGTAAAACAGTCTTGCTGTTTATGATCAACTATTTTAAAATACAGTTTTAATCTCTCTAGTCATTATGCTATTCTGAGGAACATCACAGTTTAAGCAGAGAGCCTAGTGTTAGAAATTTATAAGGTACTTTTTCTTAAAATATACAAGTTTGTGTGACAGAGAGTAAATATTGGACTCTCTTTGGCTTGCAGAATGGAGCCAAGAGTTAGCATTATGTCTCGCTCTGCAAATCCTGCTGGGTGTGAGCTGTGTACTAAACCTTGTGACAGCATTAAATATATTAAGCCAATCATGTGGAAGTTAACCAAAGGCCCCTTCACATCTGTCCTGTGGCGCCTGCAGTCATTCGCTCTAAATTTTTGCCACTTTGTCACAGTCGGGACCCTGGCTAATGACAGTGTTCAGCAGATTGACAGACTCATGTGTTTATCATCTTCCCTGGGTGGGATGGTGTTTATTTGCAGAAGTATTTGACAGTTGACTGGATTCCATTAGGAGATTTCTGAATGCCGGGGACGTGTTGCTTGTATAATAGAAAAGAATGAGAGAACTAAAAGAATAAAAACCGTAACATACACACACACAGAGAGAGAGAGAAGAATGAGAGAATTTAAGCACAAGTTTGACCAAGATATTGGCTGAGGATTTCCAAGAAAATAGGGAAAGTCTTGTGTTGGATTTTGACTGTGAATGCTTGCTTAACAATTTGGTTCCATACTGGAATGAAATCATGGGGTTGAGTAATCCATTCTTTGGTTTGTTTCAGAAACATGTGTGTTTGCATTTCTTGGCCTGTCCATTTTTAGTTTTCCTCACAAGTTTGAAATTTCCTTTGTCATCTGGTGCATAGTAAGTATTTTCCTTGTTTTTGTTTTTTATTTAATAGCTTATTTGTAGATCAGTAACCACATGTTCTGGATTCATTTATGTAACTGTTAACTGTTCAAAGTCAACAGCTACATAGACACTTTTCTGTTTAAAGTTTCTTTTGTTAAAAGAAAATCACAAACATACAGTAAGGGGGCAGGGGTAGAATTAAGTGAATAAATATTCCCATAAAGGACTTCTGCTTATTTTGTAAGATTATTAATGGCTTTGAATATTATGGTCTGGTTTATATGTTTTTGTGTGAGGAGGTACAAGCAGATTTCAAAATTGAATATGTAATTGATCATAACCATATAAAATTAATTATTATGCATAGAAAAAAGAAAATATGTAAAGAAAATGCAGCCACTTGTTCACAATGGTTACAGAGCTGGGGGTTTCTCTCTCTTTTCTGCCTTTTCTGGATAATTTATTATGTACTTATTAATGCAGTTTTTTTCAAATTTTTCTATTTATAAGTGTGCCCTTGGACATTTGTTTAAAGATTACCAATCCCTTACCTCACCTGGAGAGTCATCCAGAGGAGTTATCCTAGATGATGCTAACAACCAAGAGGATTTGGGGGCTGGGTGTGTTGGCTCTTGCCTGTGATGCCAATACTTTGGGAGGCTGGGACAGGAGGATCGTGGAGCCCAGGAGTTTGAGACCAGCTTGGGCAACGTGGCAAGAGCCCATTTTTTAAAAATTAAAAACAATTTTAAAAAAAGAAGATTTGGGAAACAAGCCAGGCACAGTGGTGCATCTATAGTCCCAGCTGCATGGGAGGCTGAGGCAGGAGGATTGCTTGAGTCCAGAAGTTCGAAGCTGTAGTAAGGTCTGATTGTGCCACTGCACTCCAGCCTCTGTGACAGAGTGAGACCCCATCTCTAAAAAATAAAAATTTAAGAACTTAAAAAAAAAGGTTTGGGAAACTGTTATAATTGAATTGGACTGGGTATGCCAGTAGGCAACAAATATACCTTTAAAAAAGGAAAAGATAAGCTTCATTTTCAGCAGAACCAAATTACTTTTGGGAATGGAGTAAGGAAAAATAAGTGTTTTGTGTTTTAAAGAAAGGTCTAGGTCCCTCAGTCATGATCAAAGTGACATTAATGACTTCTAACGCTTGGACATTTAGCAGTCTGTTCTTTCTCATGTCTGTGTTCCTTCAGCAGGAATTCATCTGCCATAAGCACTACTGCGGATTCATCCTGTAATTCCTGATTTGATTTTGTTGGCTACTTTTTAGATCCTCTGATAATTTAAGGCACTTAAGAAGCACACCTTACAGCCTGGCCAACATGGCAAAACTCTGTCTCTACTAAAAATACAAAAATTAGCCGGGTGCACCAGCACGTGCCTGAAATCCCAGCTACTTGGAAGGCTGAGGCAGGAGAATCGCTTGAACCCAGGAGATGGAAGTTGCAGTGAGCTGAGATCGTGCCACTGCACTTTAGCCTGGGCGACAAAGTGAGATGCTGTTTAAATTTAAAAAAAAAAAAAAAGAATCCAGGCATGGTGGCTCATGCCTGTAATCCCAGAATTTTGGGAGGCTGAGGCAGGCAGATCACGAAGTCAGGAGATCAAGACCATCCTGGCCAACATGATGAAACCCCATCTCTACTGAAAATACAAAAATTACCCCAGCATGGTGGCACACACCTGTAGTCCCAGCTACTTGGGAGGCTGAGGCAAGAGAATTGCTTAAACCCAGGAGGTAGAGGTTGCAGTGAGCCGAGATCGTGCCACTACACTCCAGCCTGGTGACAGAGTGAGACTCCATCTCAAAAAAAGAAAAGAAAAAAAAAAGCACACCTTATTGTTGTTGAATTATCATAATTTATCTTCAGTTAACTTTTGTTGTCAACTCCACTTAATAAAACATAGCTATTAGGAAACTTTTTTTTTTTAGCCTTGTCATCTTTCAGTGTATAAACTTGTACTCGAGCATATGGAGAAACTGAGACTGAGAAAAGATGAGGAAGCCTAAGAAAAAAAGAGATTCTCTTGCAACCTGGGTACTTCTGCCTCTCAGTCAGCAAGGGCTCATTGCTCTTGGTCACTGTTATTCGTCCTCCCAGCTCATCAGGTTTCAGGCCAAGAGAAAAGCAGCAAAAGTCCTTTACAGAAAGTATAATAGCCTAGGCCAGGCACGATGGCTCACGCCTGTAATACCAGCACTTTGGGAGGCTGAGGCGAGCAGATCACCTGAGGTCAGGAGTTTGAGACCAGCCTGGCCAACACGGTGAAACCCCATCTCTACTAAAAATACAAAACTAGCTGGGCGTGGTGGTGGGTGCCTGTAATTCCAGCTACTCGGGAGGCTGAGGCAGGAGAATCTCTTGAATCTGGGAGGTGGAGATTGCAGTGAGCTGAGATCGTGCCATTGCACTCCAGCCTGGGCAAAAAGCAAAATTCTGTCTATATATATACATAAATATATATAATAGCCTTTAATGTAGCCACTGGGTAAAAGCGGACACGTTTGATCAAACCTGAAACACGAGTGTAGGCATGGAAGATTGGATTTCAGTGGGTGAAACAGGGAGGTGACTGTGTCAGCCACAGGTTGGGAAGAAAATGAGAGGATGCCCTGGATGATAACTCAGTTTTCTCTAAGCAGTTAGGCCCAGCCTGGCCCTGCGGCTAGTGGGGACGGCCTGTGATATTCAGATGGGTTACAGTTTCTTACCTTTAAACTTGGCGTAGTGGTCAAGAGCATGGACTTTGGGGTCTGATCCAGATTTGAGGCTTAGATCCGTTACTTTACTTCCTCCCTTATCAACTTGGACCAATTAATTCATCTCTCTATACTCAGTTTCCTTGTCTATAAACTAGAGACAATAATACCTACTTTATAAGACCTTTGCAAAGATTGAAATTTAGCAGGATAATGCATGTAAAATGATTAGCATGTTGTCTGGCATAGAAATGTTTGATGATTGGAAACAGTTATTCTTGGCCAGGCGCGGTGGCTCATGCCTATAATCCAAGCACTTTGGGAGGCTGAGGCGGGCAGATAACTTGAGGTCAAAAGTCGGAGACCAGCCTGGCCAACATGGTGAAACCCCATCTCTACCAAAAACACAAAAATTAGCTGGGTGTCGTAGCACACTGCTGTAATCCCAACTACTAGGGAGGCTAAGGCAGGAGAATTGCTTGAACCCAGGGGGGTGGAGGTTGCAGTGAGCCAAGATCACACCACTGCATTCCATCTCAAAAAAAATTACTCTCATTCATGCTTGTTAAAGGAACACACTTAAAGCCCAAAGAATGTACAATATATGTCTATATCATCATTTTCAAGTAGTTCTGGTGAGAACCAAGAGGAAAAAAATGAAAGTAAAGTCATAGTCCTAAGAATCCACTTAGATAACATTTAAACTTTAGGCTGGGTGCAATGGCTCACACCTGTAATCCTAGCACTTTGGGAGGCCAAGGAAGGAGTATTGCCTGAGACAAGGAGTTTGAGACTAGCCTGGGCAACATAGCAAGATGTCATCTTTAATTAAAAATTTAAAAAAATTAGGCATAGGGGAGAGAGGGTGGGATCCGGGAAAAAAAAAATTAGGCATGGTGGTGCATGTCTGTAGTTCTAGCTACTTGGGAGGTTAAGGTGGGAGGATTATTTGAGCCCAGGCGGTTGAAGCTGCAGTGAGCCGCAATCTCACCACTGCACTCTAGCCTGGGAGATAGAGCGAGATCTTGTTTTGTTTTTTTTTTAAAAAAAAAGAGATGTAAACTTTACATAAAGCTGTACTTTGCCAAGACTAACATACCTTTGGGGATGGAAGGAAACCAAAAGCCACAGCAAGTAGCTGTCTGGCTAAGCCAGGGCATGTGGCCTCCTTGTAGACCCTACCTCTGCATTTCCATGTGTGGGTAGGTCCTTCATTGTTCCCCTCCTTTCCCTGAGGGAGAGGTAGAAACACCCTGTCTGTCCCCTTAGGGTTGGAATGATCAGTGCAGGCTTTTCCTAAGGGGGTGTCTTTGGAGTCAGGTTGCCCTTAAATTAATCCATGAATACATCTGTACAGCCTCTTGGCATTCAGTTTTGTTCTGCTGTCATTACTGAAGCCCTTCCCGATACCTCATCAGTCCTCTCTTTTCTGACTACTGAGAAAGGTAATGTACAAGCTTTATCCTTTCCTAGATGCATAGAACCCGAAGCTCCAGCAGCACGCCCATCCTGGGTCTCTGACAAGCATGGTGTTGCGCGTGTCTTTTATGGCTGAAGGGAATGCTGCATTTGTACTTGATGTGTTACACAGTCTACATCAGCTTCGAGAAGCTTCTGCTTCAAGAACCAGACATTTTTCACCTAAGACTTAATTTGTTGCTGTCGACAGGTTCTTGTACTGTTTGGCAGAGCGGTAAACATTTTCCCTCTTTCCTACCTCCTGAATTTCTTCCGGGATCATAAAATCACACCGAAGATGATGTTCATCATGTGGTTTAGTGGTAAGTCAAATCTTGAATAAACAGGGTGGGAAATACCTGTTAAAAGCACTCCCCATGTGGAGAGAGCCGTAGTTCTCTGCTAGCACCCTTGGCAAAGGCATTTGCTCCTAAGCCACAAGTAATCAACACTCCTGTTTAATGGCACCCACTGCAGCCCAGATGGCGCCCCTCACCATGGTGCTGTGCAATGGGCGAGGCTTTGTTGGAAGAGGGCAACCAAAGGACATGCCCAGGGTCAGGTGACCACTGGAGGCAGAGCCGGAATTTCTGCCACTCTCTCCTGGACAGGACAGTGCGGTCCAGGGCACAGCTGGGCATGGTTCACTGCCTCCCTGTGGGTTTTCTAGGCTGTGTCCTAGGCTCAAGTAATGATGGACTCAAGGTTGAAAAGGTGAAAGTAGAAACTGTTTTATACCTTATGTTAGTTTTGGATATTTTTCCTTTTAGTCACAAAGTTCTGGTAGTTTAATTTGAATGTTTCAGTTGCTATTTAATCACTTTTTAAAGGATGGAAGTGATTTCATAAATCTTTGCTTCTAAAGAACTGGATCCATAGTCATCTTTAAATTTATTTTTGAGCAATACATACTGTTCTTTATGCTTTCTTGCTTAAATATTATAATTAAAGTGTTTTCCGTGTGGGTTGGGTTATAGCTGCACACTTTATGATGTTCTCTATCCAAAGGCATATCTGTAAGTTTGTCTCAGATTTCTCTTCTTTTAAAAGGCCATGTTTAAAAATGTATGTGTTTCATATATATGTACATATGTGAATATATATGTATGCATTTATATATGGTGAGAAAAACGAATTTTTTTCCTAATCTCTTTTTGCCAATAAGACAAACTACTTTGTAAAGTGGTTGCATAAGTGTGTCAGAGGTTATTTGAAGTGATGTGAGCTATTTGGGACGGGGCATGAGGATAAGTGAGCTTTGTGGGGAAGGCTGGAGTATATTTGAAAAGGTGAGGTGTGTAGGCTCCTGTTCTCTCCCGGGCTTTCTCTCCTTGGCTTTCCATCCAGGCTTTCCTGGATTCTCAGTGAGGAGCACTGAACAAGCCTCTGCTACTGGCCCTTTCCATCATCATCTAAGCAATCAGTTTTTCCCCCTTCCCACAAAACACCAGATCTTTGTAACCAGAGTTCCTCCTCACGTCCCCAGCAGCTGCGTCCCAGCCTCTTTCGCCATGGCCAGACCCCGTGAATGAGCTGTCCTTGCTCATTTTCTCCACTTCTTCACCATCTGTCCACAGGGCTGGAATTGGCCTTGTGGCCAATTGGAGCCTCCCACAGCCAGACCTGAAGGGGAGGCAGAGGGGTCTGCCCCCATCCTAGCCCACCTGCTTCCCACCGCCCCTGCCTTCTGACAAGGACCACTTCACCCTCTTCTGTGGCCTCCGGGCCTTGCTCCTGGTTTCTCTTCTTTGGCGTCTCCTCGGGCTCATCCCCCTTCACCGACCCCTCACATAGCAGCTTCCTCGGGACTCTGCCCCAGCCCTGATTCTGTTCATGTGTTCTGCGCTTCACTGAGTGTGCTCACCTGTCCACTGGCCTTCACTTCCATCTAGTCCCAAAGCTGTTCCCGAGAACCCAGACCTCCCTCTGGGATCCGCACTCCTGTTTCCAGCTGCCTGCTTGGATGCCATGGAGATGCTACCATCCCTATACCTTTGCCATCCCCTTTGCCCAAGAAATCCTACTTTGAATTGCCTTGCGGCCTGGTTGGCTGGTACTAAGCACTTGCTGGGTACACACCCTGTTAAAGCACGTTACGTGTGCTGTGTCACTGAATCCTCTGGCCCCTGTGACAGGTGTAGAGAGAGAGTCCCTCGTCCTTATCATGTCTCTGCATTCTGTGCTCTGTGCTCCTGTTCCGCCTTCCCCCATCTGGGTCTTACCTGCAGCAGTCTGGCTGTCCTGCCCCATCGTGATGCAAGCTTCCTGCCTTCCTGTCTGTGCTCCCCAACCCTGCCCATCTCTTCTGGGTACCATTTCACAGCCTTCATTTGCTGTGTCTCCTTCCAGCTGCTCTGGGAGCTCTCCAGGGTCAGGGCTAGGACTGCCTGTCTCCTCCGTACGGTGCCAAGGAAGCCAGGAAGCTTCTTATAGAGTAAAGTACTGTTTCCCAGCTCAGTCTATGCCCCTCTATCATGCCCTAGTAGCCTCACAGGGGACCAGCCAGCCTCTCATTACCACCTAAGCAGCCCAGAGCCCTGTCAGTGCCACCAGGGGCCTCCATAGGGGCAGCATCTCGAGATACGAGGGGTGCTGGACACATTGCATCCTGTGCTGTTGTGGGGATTCGCTGAGTGGCGCCAGGCGGGACATGCTGCTCTTGGCCTCGGTCCCTCATCTGTGAGTTATGGATGAGAGTAGCACTGCTCATTGAGGATTCCTGTGAAGATCCAGCAAGGCTCTGCACTCCGAGCACCTGCCTAGGCTTGGTGCACACACCAAGGGCTTGGTCCACAGCAGCTGTCCTACAGTTTTCAAGACACGGGCGTGCGTCAGCCTTGATAAGTCCTCCTGCATCTGCATGTGGGGCTCTGTAGCTGGGGCAGGGCACCTCACTGGGGCATGGGGGTGAGTTGGTGGTCCCCACATCTCTTTGGATTGCGCTTTTCACCTCAAAGCTTCACAGAACAAGCACATGCTCTTCAGTGGGGCCATTAGAATAGTTGCTGGTCGCAGTGCTGGGCCGGCTGGATTTCCAGGAAAGCCAGCCCATGAAGCTGCTGCCTCCTCTCTGTGTCTTCTCACTCTGTTCGCTGTCCCCCAGGCCTGCGGGGGGCCATCCCCTATGCCCTGAGCCTGCACCTGGACCTGGAGCCCATGGAGAAGCGGCAGCTCATTGGCACCACCACCATTATCATCGTGCTCTTCACCATCCTGCTGCTGGGTGGCAGCACCATGCCTCTCATCCGCCTCATGGACATTGAGGACGCCAAGGCTCGCCGCAGGAACAAGAAGGACGTCAACCTCAGCAAGACAGAGAAGATGGTCAGTACCACGCGCCTTTGGGGTGTGGCGGGGGGCTGGCCTGCTGCACAGCTGGTGGCCCCAACTGTCAGGAAGTGGGGAGATGAGCCTTGCTTTGAGGACACCCAGCACCTCCACATACACACTTGATGCACATACTGCACACGCACACACACCAGTTGTTACCCCTGAGAAGGATGTGACAGAACTTGAGTTCTAAAGCATGGCTCTTGGGATGGGGGTGTCTGGTGGCCATGACCTGCTGCAGCCGGGGAGGCTGTGGGAGACCCCATCTGCTCCCTCTCTGAAGCTCCGTGGGGCACTGCAGGAGTTTGGGCCTGTGCCATACTCTCCTAGCAGTGCCTCTGCACTGCTAGCAGCTGAGACACCTGTCAGGACCCAGGTATGAAGGTTTCAAAATCTTGTCATTTTCCAGCATTTATTAAAAACCACCTGTTGGGGGCCTGAGGTGGGGAGGATGGCTTGCAGTGCCTGTGAGAGCCCTGCGAGGGGTACACTCCCTCAGGGACAGACATGGTGTGGGGCTGGAGGTCCCCAGGCCCCAGCTGTAGGGAAAACTGAAGCTCTGCGGCCTGCCCACCTCTTCTCCCTGCAAGCCACTGCCCCTGCCACCAGGCTACTTCCGCCCTGTCTTGATCCTCAGGACCCCTGTGCGAAGCCAGGCCCTCTGACTGAAGCAGAGGCTGCTCTGGGCTCCAGCCCACCCTCCTGCATCCTCTACCAACGACCGTTTCTCTCTTTCTAGTTCTCGTATTATAGGCCTCAGTCTCTTTAATCAGTCATCAGAGGCCCAAGAGTCCTCAAGTGGCTGTCCACTGCCAGCACTGGAGTTAGGGCTGGCAGGACCATGGCCTCCCGTCTCCATGCTGGGCCCCTCAGCCAGTGCAGTGTGGCTGAGAGGAGTTTCTGGATGGCCATTAGGCCTGGCTCTTCCGAACTTTCATCACACTAAGAGGCCCTTTGCCCCCATCTCCTATCTACCAACTTTCTTGTTTTTCACAAAAGCTCTAGCTCAGGCCTCTCTGGGTATCAGAATCAGCGGGGGACTTGGTACACACAGGCTGCTGGGTCCCACACCAGCATCTCCTAGGTCTCGCGTGGGGTCCGAAAGAATTTGTGTTTCTTCTTATTTCTTCTTATTTATTTATTTTTGAGACAGGGTCTCACTCTGTTGCGAAGGCTGAAGTGCAGTGACGCGATCCTGGCTCACTGCAGCCCTGACCTCTTGGGCTCAAGTGATCCTCCCACTTCAGCCTCTGAAGTAGCCGGGACTCCAGGCAGGCGCAACCCCACCCAGCTAATTTTTTTTTTATTTTTAGTAGAGATAGGGTCTCACCATGTGGCCCAGGCTAAGAATTTGCATTTCTAAAAAGTCACCAGGTGGTGCTGCTGCATCTGATCCTGTGAATATTCTTGGCGAAGCAGTCCTAGCAGAAACAGGACAGCTCCTCTGAGGATGAACTGCTGAGTTTCTGGAATGTTTTCTGTGGCAGTCAGTGCTTGTGTTGTCCTTCGACTATCTCAGATTGTCCCAATAGCTTGCCAGAAACTGGTGCTTTCATTATACCCATTTTGCAGATGAGAATGCTAAGGCATCAAGAGAATCAGATCACACAGCTGCGGGCACGAACTCTCAAGCCTGCCCTCCTAACCACCACACTGACCAGCAGCATCACTGGGAACTTGTTAGATATGCAGATTCCCAAGCCCACTTAGACCTACTGACTTAGCTGCTCTGCAGGTAACTCCGCTGGGCCCACTGTTTTGTGGTTTCACAAGTCCCTCCTCACCCCAGGTAGATTCTGATGCAGACCAGTGTTTGACAAGCACTGTTCACAGCATCTAAATGCCCTCCCCTCCCCCACCATCCTCTCCCCTTCCTGCACCTGCCCCCTCCCCCACCACTTGCATAGCACACTGCAAGTGTGAAGCTGCAGAGCACACTTCACTATGACCCCACTGAGGCTCCTCCAGCAGCGCAGGGCACTACATCCAGAGCCTGTCTGCTTTTCCTCCCTGTGGGGAGTGCTGGACATCCACAGTGACCCGAGCTCCGGCCCTCCCCTCCACATGGGGTCCTTTCTGCATCCCTTCCCAATTTTTACAGGATGTGTCCCTCTCCCCTCTCCTCTCCTGGCTTGATTGGCAAAAGCCTACCCACAGTGGAGTCCTAGCTATTGGAGCCACAGGCAAAGAGACAAAAAGAGTCTCCCTGTGCAATTCGCTGGTAATGAAAAGCCCAGAACGGCAGTTCCAGTCCTGGTTGCATAAGAGAGTCCCCCTAAAAGCTTAAAAACCAAGCCCCAGCCTGGCCTGGTCCTTCTGATTAAGCTGTCCTAGCTGGGGTCCTAGGCATCCATTGTGCCCTGATGAACCTTCCTGCCTCCCTGCAGGCTTCAAGGAGGCCATCTGCTGCCCACCATCACCCTGCACTGATGGTCAAGTGGTGTTAGGGCTGGGGACACTGGCAGCTTGGGTGGTGGTGGGGCTTCCAGGAGATGCCCCTGATGGTGTCAGCTGATGGCCATCAGGCCGCCTTTCCTCCCCGCTCAGGGCAACACTGTGGAGTCAGAGCACCTGTCAGAGCTCACAGAGGAGGAGTATGAGGCCCACTACATCAGACGGCAGGACCTCAAAGGCTTCATGTGGCTGGACGCCAAGTACCTGAACCCCTTCTTCACTCGGAGGCTGACACAGGAGGTGGGACACCGGCCAGACTACATTCTCTGGGGTCCCTTGCCTGCCTCCTTTAGGACCTGCAGTGGCCCAGGGTCGGGTGGAGGAAGAGAGGGGAGGCAGGAAGGCTCACGTGGGCCTGCCAGGCTGCCGCCTCCTGGTCTGGAGGCTGGGCGTGCTTGTGGAACTTGGCATCTGCTGTTTTCCCTTCACTGCCACATTTAGTGCGAGGTTAATAATAGACTTGTTAACACAGTTTGGTTTTCCTGGATGATAGACTCAGGGTATCGACCAACTAGTGAATCGGAGCTGAGGAATTTCCAACATACCAGGGCCTCAGGCTGTGGCCCAGGGTGGCCCAGGCTCAAAGCTCTGGTTCTGTCCCTCAGGGCACTTCTGGCCTCTTGGTAGTTGGAGGCCTTGGGTCAGGGTGGGGCTCTTCCCACTGCTGCCCGCTCTGTTTCTGAGCAGTCCTGTTTTCCACTCTTGGGTAGACGTGATAGCTGGCGGTGTGTGCGCTCTTCCAGGAGCCAGGCAGCTCTGGTGACCGTGACTGCGACTGCTTCCTTCTCCAGCATCCCGTGCAGTGGATGCGGCTGTCTCCTTGACAGCTGAGGAGATGGAGGCTTAATGGGGTGCAGTAACCCCGCAAGGTCACAGCCAATACAGGCAAAACCTGGAACAGAGCCAAGTGTGTCTGACTCCAGAGGCCACGTTTTTGCCCTCACGCCATGCTACCTCCTTTCTGAATGAGGCCTCCCGTGATCTCCACTCCACAAAGAACAACCCCAATTCAGTTCATTCAATTGAAACTGAACTTGCTGTGGCCATCACCCTGCCCTTCCACCTCCGCCTCAGACACCCCACACAAGACACCCAGCTGCCCCCGCTCCCTTCCTCGGCCCTGCCCCTGACCCATTGACAGCTTGGTTGTGTCTCTTGACCCAGGACCTGCACCACGGGCGCATCCAGATGAAAACTCTAACCAACAAGTGGTACGAGGAGGTGCGCCAGGGCCCCTCCGGCTCTGAGGACGACGAGCAGGAGCTACTCTAATGCCAGGTGCCAAGGCTTCAGGCAGGCAGGCCCAGGATGGGCGTTTGCTGCCCACAGACACTCAGCAGGGGCCTCACAGAGGTGTGTGCATCCAGGAGCCCCTTCGGGACATAAGAGGGCAGGGTGAGGCACCGGCTGCAGAGTCACCTTAACCTGGAACTTGCCAGACATCTGGAGCCAGGTGACCTCTTGAGAAACTGTCATCTCCCCACTCCTCCCTGAGCCAGCCTCTGCTCTCACTGTAGCTCTTCAGCCCACAGAGGGGAGGGAGCACTGGGCCAGGCCCCAGTCATCTGTGAAGCTAGGGTGCCCGCCCGCCTGTGCACCCAGAGGACCCCTGTGGTCCCCTGCCGGGAGGAGTACCATCTACAGTTGCGCCAGTCCCCAGCCACTGCCTTCATCCCGCCCCCGCCGGACTGGCAGAGTCAGGGGCCAGCCACCTGTCTCTGAGTCATCAAGATGCCTCCGCAGCAGCAATTCTGACCTAAGTGGCAGGGCCCAGAAATGTTGAAAACCTCCCACTCCCCTTTGTGATACTTCCTGGGCTCCCTCAGGAACGGAGTGACCTTTTTTCCTTTACCTGATTGGCACCTCGCAGCCTGTCTCCCTGGGTGGCAGGCGACTGCTGCCCTTCTCTGGGCACGTTCTGAATGTTTACACTGGTACCTTCTGGTATCTTCTTTAGAGCTCCCTGCAAGCTGCAACCCTGGGTTTTTATCTTTTGGGGTCAAAGCGCCCTCTAGAGGGAAAAGCTAGAGGCACAGGGTTTCTGCTGACCTGCAACTGCTGTCTTGATTAGGTTTAAATTCATGCATTTTTACAGCAAAGTGCTGAGAACCTCATAGTGGTCTCCTGCCATCTGATCTCCCTCCCTGCCATTCTCATACTGGGTTGTTCTTTTGTCTAATCGGAGACCGCTGTGCCGAGGCCCTGTGGTGTCTGCTCACCGCTGCCACCTTTGCTGCTAATCACGGTTCCATCTTTCCCCTCTCCCAATTCCCTACCACGTTGGATCCCATTTGTCACCCATGCTAGGGTCCCCAAAGCACTGGGGCAGGGGCCAGAGCAGCAGCACCCAGTGCTCCCCCCTCCCACCCTGACCTGGAGCCCCAGCAGCCTGGAGTTGGATGAGGATGCTCCAGGCACACACACACACACACACACAAACACACACACACGCACACCCTGCCCTGTCCCTGAGTCCTGGCCCCGGCGGCCGTCTCACGGTAAGGAGCTGCCAATCATGTCTAGGAACAGAGTCACTGACTCGCATCCTCTCCTCAGCTCCCCTTTGACAAGCCTCAAACTGCTCAGCTCATCGAAGGGCTGTTGTCAACTTCTGTATGTGGTTCTGGGTTGCAGGGAGCCTTGGAACTTTGTACCCTGGGGTGGTTGAATTCATCATGTGCATGCCTGCTTCTCTGGGGACACAATGGGCCTGCATGGACGCCACCTGGAGCAAGTGCATCTCCATCTCTTCGGTGTCAGGCAGCGTGGCCTCTGGGTGTCAGGAGGAACTGACCTCAGGACCTTCCAGGTCTTGTGCCAGGAATGAGAGGCCAGGCCAGATCCTGCCACTTCGCCTCATTCCCAAAGTCAGAGCAGGCCAGCCAGGCAGGAAGCACGCTGTTTACTTTGCATGAAAAGTAAATTTGTACTTGATAGACCTAAAATATGATCTTTTTTAGTCCTTCACTTTAACCCCATAATTTGAGCCATTGCCTTGCTTAATTTAGGTCTCTACCATTTCCTTTTAGTGGAGAAGAGAGGGGGTCAGAGGGTGGGGACCTTTGCCTGTCCCTGGGTGAGTGGGATTAGGGATCTGAGACCAGATTGTTCTCTCACCCCTGCCAGAATTCACTCTCCCCTGAAGTTCAGGGTCCGATCTCCCAGATGTAAGTTGCTTTGCAAACTCAGTTGTTTGCCAGGATTTCTTTATTTCCAAATCTAAAATTAACAGGTAAAGCAACGAAAAGGTCAGATCCCATTTCCATCTGCCCTCTCATCTCCAGTCTGATGCCCCAGCCATGGCACACCTGGCCTCACACTTTTAGCTGAGACCTGAAAATGATGCTTTGGTGGAAGAGCATGTGGGGACTTGGTGGAGGGCCCCCAGGATTTGCAGCGGGGTAGAGGGGCTGGTGGGACTTTTCCCAGGAGATATCAGCACCTGCCTCCATCTCCTGTGAGCCTCCTCTGCCCCCTGCTGGCCAGGTGAGGTCAGCAGCCTGGGAGAGTGACCCCAAGAGATGAGGGCACCTCGTGTTCCTCAGCAATCTTGGCTCACCTTTGTAACAAAAGGCCATGGAAGTCCTTTTCTGGTCGATTTTTTCAAAAGTCTTTTCCTGAGAATAACAAATTGCTGCTGTCTACCTTTAGCACACCCAATAATTCTATTTGGGGTGGTGAATGCGTAGAAGAGATAAAAATACGCAGCTTAACTATATCTTCCTGCATGTATATTTATTTTCTTCTGAGTCTAGGCCATGAGACAGGAGAACTGTGGCATGTAGGAGGAATGCTTCAGGAGGAGTGAAGGCTGGAGCCAGGGAGCGCTGGAGGAAGCCAGGCCTTTAGCCAGCAGCCCCTCCACCACAGGTGCCGCTGTGTGGAACTAGTTCTTAGAATAAATTCCATGCTTTCTGCAGCCTGTAGTTATTATGACCCCTTGGAACAGCTACCCCCTGTGACTTGGTGTGTGAGGTCTCATAGGGAAAGGGGCTGGCTTCTCCCACGTCCTTGAGATCAAGTTTGTCGGGGGCTGGGCCAGGGCCAGGCTGAGGGTGGCTCAGTTCCATCATCTGGAGCTCAGACACTCTGCCCAGGGGCAGAACTGAAGCCCTCCCGACCCCCACCCCAAGCCAGCCACTCCTTTTTACAGTGGGCTGGTGGGCTGGGCTGGGCAGTCCGGGCTGGCTGGCTGGCATGAGGCCAGAGTTGCCCAGGTTAGCCCACAGGATTCCTTTGTGTACCATGGAATGCTGAAAGATGGGTGACTGGGGATCCTTCTTAAAACCCTTGGCAAAGGTGCCGTCAGCAAGGCTTGACTTCATGAAGTCTTGGGTCTGTGTTCCCACAGGGCCCACATACTCAGAGAGTCCTCAGCAGGGTGGCCGAGACCAGGGCGCTTCTGCTGAGGAGCAGGTAGGCTTGGGTACGGGTGTGGCCTGGGGTGGCTCGGGGCTGGAACTCCTGCCTGATTCCCGTGTGGGGTAGAAGCTCAGTGGACATTCTCTGCCACTGACAAGGATTTCACATGCAGAAGAGAAAAGGTGCCCCTCCGGTCCCCATATTCCCTGCCGAATTCGTGCCAGTGTGTGCTGCCCTTTCTGGGGGCAGGTAGGAAACCACACCTGAGTGTCCCAATGAGGAGTCACGAAGCAGTGTCCTCGGGAAGGTGTCTCTAGAGCCCCGGGCCCTCCATCTAACAGGTAAAGCCCTCAAGAGAGTACAGAGCCAGCCCCCTTCCCTTTAGGCTCCTGCCATTTCCCAAATGGTTCTCCAATAGTTAAACATTGAGGGGCTTCGCTGTTACCAGGCATGTAACAAGGAGGAAGACTGGCTAACATCCCTTGCCCCATCCCATCCTCATTCCCCTAGCCATTTTCTTGCCATGGCCTCTGGTGCCCTTGAGCGGGTCTCTCTGGCTGCTCTGCGGGGCTTCACTGGCTTCAGGGTGAGCACGAAGTGCTGGTGAGCAGTGGGCCTGTGGTTGGATGGGAAGATGTGCATCAGTGGTCAGAAGTCCCCTGCCAGCCCTGCGGATCCAGAGCCTCGGGCCGGGATGGGGATGGCTCCCTACTCCCACCTGGACAGTGGGCATGGTCTGGATGGTGGGCGAAGGCTTACACCAGAGCCTTTGACGGTTTCTCCAAGTAGGGATCTGCACAGCTCAAACTGTCATCAAGATGGGTGTGAATCTTACATTCTTTTCATTATTTCCTTTGTAAAAAGAGTGCTGGGTTTTTGTTTTAAGAAGCATTATGAAGGCCAGGCTTACTCATTTTTCTCCCCCAAGGGACCTGTGAGAGGCCCCTGTTAGGCCCCGTTTCCTGAGCAATGATGTGCTGCTCTTCTTGCTGGGGCTTTGGATTGGAAGGAGAAGGCAGGTGAGAGATGGGGGACCTGTGGCTGCCATGTGGGAGCCCCTGCGCCATCTCATTGGACTCTTTAAGGGAGTCGGGAATAGATGGAAGACAGCCATGTCACTGGATGGTTATTTAGAATTAAAGTGTAGCTGCTGAATTGGAGCCAGTCTCTGTATTCACGTTCAGGTGGCTTTGCAGATGCACAGGTCACACCTCCTAGACTGGGCTCTGTGGCACGCAGCTACCTAGCCTGTGGGCTGCTGGCAGCCATGTCACCAGGAAATACAGTGCTTAGGAGCAGGACTTGGGTCAGGCTGGCCTGTGTCTGTTCCTACTTTTGGCCTTCAGTGAGGAGCATGTGCCGCTCAGCCCCAGCCAGGCTCAGCTTCTCCTCACAGTGCAAGGAGCCCTACCTCCCCAGGGCTCGATGGCTGTTGGCCCAGGCTGCAGGGCTGCCTGCTGTCCTGCTCTCCAGTCCCCCACAGACCTTTGCCTGTTGGTGAAAGGGGGAACTTCTGTCACTGAACCCGCCCTGCCACTAGAGTGGGGCTGTCCACATCCTCTGATTGGAGGTGGTGGCGTGTTGGGGACGAAGGGGCCTGAGTTCATCTATACCCCATGCACTTCGAAAGGCATCCAAACTGCTGACGGTAACAGGCACAAACCAAACATGCATGTGATGTGAAACGAAACCAGGGAGAAGCTGTCCCGGCCCGGCCAGGAGGCAAAGCTGAGTTTCCCAGTTCCTTCCCAGCCTGTGCTTCATCTCACCCCGGGGGAGACTCCCCAGGCCACAGTGGGCTCCCTTTGTCCTGCTTTTGGTGGAAACCCAGATTCAGAGAAATGTTTCTCCACCATAAGAAAAACTGCAAGTGTGATGATGACAAGTGGCAGCTGACACTTGGCTGGATTGTCCTCAAGATGGAGGTGATCTTATATTCCTCTGGAGTGTAAGAATCTTACATTCTTTCAGAGTAAAAGCATATTTGGGAGTATAAGAATCTTATATTCCTTGGGAGTATAAGTATATTCCTTGGTGTCAAGGAGGCACAATGAGAGTGATGAGGACTCTGGCAAACAGAAAGCAGAATTTTCCAGACCAGACCTGCCTGCGAGGGCGGCTGCGAGGTGGAACTGTGCTGTGCTGAGCAGAATGTCAGCTGGAACAGAATGGAGTGCTGGCAGCAAAGGTTAGGGGTGGTCCTGAGCGGGCACCTCATTCGCATGGAGGGAACAGGGTATGTTTCATTTGTATTTCAACCTTCTCAACTCCTAGAAAAAGCTATCAGGGTAGAGGGGAGCAATTGAGGCAAGAAATATTTTCCTTAGAGGCTAGAAAGCTGGCAGGAGGCTGGAGGTTCATGCACAAAGTTGAGGGCCCTGTATTTATTCCACAGGGCGCTAGGGGAATGAAGCTGGCCTGGAGGGGGACCCCACTGACTCCTGGAGGCAACCCCTTCCCACCCCAAGCAAGGGACAACACAGCCCTGTACCTCTAGCCAGAGAAGATGTGAGACATGAAGGGCAGTGGAGGTCAGGGGCCAGTACAGTCATTTCAAGGCCCTGGGTGACAGTAAGTGCCCCATAAATGGAGGTCCTCTTTGTGAATATGGACCTTCAGGAGAGCAGGTGTCAGCCACACTCCCCCTGCCTGGGGAGGCTGCCTCGCAGACCTGGGGGTCTTTAGCATCAGTTGGGACCAGCTTAGTGCTGGGGACAGAAGGGACCTCTGCAAATGGGGAAGAAAATAAGTCTTCGCTTACAAAAAAAAAAAAGGCCACAAAAATGTAGTTGGTTCATCTTGTGGTGAAGATGAGCCATACGCTCCTATCTGCTGGTGGGAGGGCAGCTGGCTCACACTCTCCAGAGGCCACTGTGGTGACAGCTCTCCAAAGCCTAAAAATGGCTGAGCAGTTCCACTCACATGAACATGAAAGTGAATAAAAACTGCTCACCGAGAATGGTCATCCTGGCAACATCTGAATGAGGAAAAATGGGGAACAACCTCTTTGTCCACGAGTAGGGGATGGTGAGATAAATAATGTTAGTATAGCAACAATTCAGGATTCTAAGGACGTAGAAACATGTTGAGAATGTTATCAGGCTGGCATTTTACCACCTTTAGAGAGAGAGAGACATTTCACCCTCTCCTTAAATGCTGTTGGAGATTTCAAAATGATGAAAAACGAAAGTAGAAATTTTACTATATCCTTTTATAAAAATACACATACTGGTACTCCAGCACACACCCATTAATCCCTAATACGTCAGACCCGGTGGTTCCTTTCAACCACTACTTTTTCCCTCTGCCCTGATGTCTTTGCTGAGAGAACCCATGTGGTTCATGTAATGAGTGACTGCATGTTTCAGGGGAAAACAAAGCCGGTTCTCAGCTCAGGCTGTTCCTGGTCATTCTCTCTACTTGTCTGAGATTGGCTGAGAAATGGGTCTATGACCTTATTTGGCAGGAGAATGAAGCAATGTGTTTTCTTTTTTGTTTCTTTCTTGTTCTGTCACCCAGGCTGGAGTGCAGTAGGGCGATCTTGGCTCGCTGCCACTGCAATCTTCATTTCCTGGGTTCAAGTGATTCTCCTGCCTCAGCCTCCCAAGTAGCTGGGATTACAGGCATGTACCATCATGCCCGGCTTTAGTAGAGATGGGGTTTCACCCTGTTGGTCAGGCTGGTCTTGAACTCCCAACCTCCGGTGATCTGCCTACCTTGGCCTCCCAAACTGCTGGGATTACAGGTGTCAGTCAATGTGCCCGGCCTGAAGCAATATTTTGAGGAATTTCTAAAACTGTTTCCTTACTCTCAAAAAGACACTCAAAGAAGGGACATGTTCTCTTCCCATTGTCTGGCCTTTGCCTCCCATTACATGAGGATGTCATGCTGCACCCGCTGCAGCCATTTTGAGACCAGGAGGGATCACTTTGCCAGGATGCTGAGGATAGCAGAGCAGAGACAGAGGCTTGTGTGTTGTTCAGAAGCATATCAATAGATGTGCCTCTATAGGGTGAATTAGTGGTATGTGTATATAGGAAAAACATCTGAAAGGATAGACACAGAGTTTTGACTTTGGTTCTCTCCGCTGGAAGGATTATAGGGAACTTTTTTTGAGCTGAAGTTTTGCTTTTGTTGTACAGTCTCGAGTGCAGTGGCACAATCTCGGCTCACTGCAACCTCCACCTCAAGAGGTTCTCCTGCCTCAGCCTCCCAAGTAGCTGGGACTATAGGCACCCACCACCATGCCTGGCTAATTTTGTATTTTTAGTAGAGACTGGGTTTCACTGTGTTGGTGAGGCTGATCTTGAACTCCTGACCTCAAGTGATCCACCCACCTTGGCCTCCCAAAGTGCTGGGATTACAGGCATGAGCGCCTGGCTGATTATAGGTAACTTTAAAAATCTTGTCGTTTGCATACATTTTGTTTTTCTCATAAAGAATATTTATTGAGTAGTAAGGAGCACACATGTTCTTTGATCCCAGAACTAGAGGAGCAGTGCATTAGATGGAATGCCTTGAAGGAAATGGGCGAGTGTCCAAACTGATGCAGTCACTGTGGAGAGGCCTGTGGCCCTTCCACCAGCGATACCCCTCCTAGCCCTGGGGCAAAGACTAGCAAATTACAGCCTGTGGCCCAAATCCAACCTGCCTCCTGTGTCTGTACTACCCAAGAGCTAAAAATGGTTTTAATAGTTGTTCTTTCTTTTTTTTGGTTGGGGTAAAAAAAAAAAACAAACCCAGAAGAGTAAGGGCAGGTGTGGTGGCTCATGCCTGTAATCCCAGCACTTTGGGAGGCCAAGGCAGGAAGACTGCTTGAGCCCAGGAGTTTGAGACCAGCCTGGGCAACATAGGGAGACCCTGTCTCTACACATAATTAAAAACAACAACAACAACAACAACTATCCAGTGAGTTGATGGACACCTGTGGTCTCAGTTACTCAGAAGGCTGAGGTAGGAGGATCACCTAAGCCCAGGAGGTTGAGGCTAAAGTGATCTGTGATTGTGCCACTGCCCTGTAGCCTGGGTGATAGAATGAGACCCTGTCTCAAGAAAAAAAAATCACAGATTCATAAGAAGTTGCCAAAAAGATAGTACAGAAAGGTCCCATGTACCCTTCACCCCATTCCCCAGTGGTAACATTTTTACTACTATAGAATAGTTTCACAACCAAGAAACGCCTTGGTACAATCTGGTTCCAGTTTCATCCGTGTATCAGCCTCGTTTGTGTGTGTTTAGTTCTATGCGATTTTAGATGATGTAGATTCACATAACCAGCATCACAGGGAAGTCTCTTTTTATAGAAGTATTCCAGCTGCCACACAAAGAAGAAATTGTTGAATTGGAATATCTCTATTTTGTAACTTCCAGTGAAATAATGGACCTAAGTGGGAAGTCACAGCCTTAATAGCTGCTAATTCCCCAGAGGGAGAGAACTCGCCATCATATGCCTCCTGATGAGAGAATATGCGTCATGTATTCTTATCACAGAGATCAAACCCAAATCCAAGCAAACCTCAAGAGCCAGCTGCCATGCAATTCACCACATGCACACATTCAACACCCTCGTGATAAAAACACTCAACAAGCTAGAATAGAGGGAAACTACCTCAACATAATACAGGCCATTTAGGGTCACAGCTGACATCATAGTCAATGTTGAATGACTGGAAGCTTATCCTCTGAGATCAGGAACAAGGCAGGATGCCTGCATTCACCACTTCAACTCAGTGTAGTACTGGAAGTTCTAGCTAGAGCAATTAGACAAGAAGAAGAAAGGAAAGATACCCCAGTTGGAAAGGAAGAAGTTAAAATTATCTCACAGATGACATCTTATATGTAGACAACCTTAAAGATTCCCCAAGAAAAAGCTTCAAATAAATTCAGCAAAGTTGCAGGAAACAAAGTCAACACACAAACTTCAGCTGCATTTCTTTCCTTTTTTTTGAGATGGAGTCTACCACTGTAGCACTGTTGCCCGGGCTAGAGAGCAGTGGCATGATCTCTGCTCACTGCAGCCTCCGCCTCCCAGGTTCAAGCGATTCTCTTGCCCCAGCCTCCTGAGTAGCTGGGATTACAGGTGCCCGCCACCACGCCGGGCTAATTTTTCGTAATTTTAGTAGAGACAGGGTTTCACTATGTTGGCCAGGCTGGTCTTGCA